TGCGAATGTAGGACGACAGTGTTGCAAGGGCTAAAGCCAACGAGACACTGGAGGCAGTAGGCAAGATTGGTGATGGCACCAATGTATAATGTAGTATGGATGGTAGTGGTTATGAGTAGGAGAGGAAGAGGTAGGAGGGGAGAGGGCAAGATATTATATGGCAGGTGAAGTGGGTTTGCGAGGAGGCAGAGTCAACGGGAAGGCTGTGGGTTGCTGGTTCGCGAGTACCTCTAGCTCCAAGCTTAATGGCAGGGGTGTTGGTACCCGTCCGGCAGTGGTTGTGCGAGGCAGCCTAGAGCTCAAGTGGAAAAAAGGAGCACAGGCGAGATCGAGGGCGGAAACAGACAAGAGTCGGTTCCACAGAGGCAGTCTCCAGTATGCGGCGCTTGGTGGATGTTGTGCTTGGACTGAGGCAGTTGGATGGTTATGCGGTTACCTGGACACAAGCAGATCGCGAGTCTTATAACAAGAGCCATGTGTGTGCGCGGGCAAGCGCAGGTCCCTCGGTGTCGACATCAGACCCTGTTGATCCAGGCGCACACCCCCTCCACCATGGGAGGAGCACACCCTCTCCAGTTTGACCCGCTGATACGTACCGTAGCCACTGTGCAGCTCCCGGTTCCCACTTGATCGAGGTTGTCTCCCCTCCTCCTCCATGGCTCTGTGCGCATTGTTGTGCACGCTGTTGGGCAACTGGGGCTCCAGACAAGCCACACAGCCACACCTCCCGCTCTGGCAACACCTAGCCACTGGCTTTGACTGGTTGACGGAATGATCAATGAATGAATAGACGATGGAGCGACCATGGCTGCTGTCGCTACAAAATATCATCTCTCCTCTGCAAGTCAACTGCTCATCTGCACCACCAGCAGAATTAATTGGTGTTCCAAGCAGCAACGTAATCGCCGCCCAGACACGTAGGCTGCTGCTCCCCATCTACTTGGATGCTTCTATTTTCTGCATGCTCTTTAGAGTGGGTGGTGCATATTATTGGTAGGCCAGGCCCCAAGTCACCTGTTGCGAGATTCTCGGACCTCACCGGCGGCCCTGTAGGCGCTTGTTCAAACCGGCCTCCTCTGCCGCGGCCACCACACTGAAAATTCCCCAGCAAAGTGTGGCTGACGGCTGGAGGACAGTGCGGAGGATCAGGATAAGCGTACTGTACCAGGGTCTCCAAGTCCTTCACCTTGGCCTCTGGGACCACCAGAGCAATATTGCCGTTTAGAGTCCTACACGGAGGGCCATTGAGGACATCACCATAACACGGGTGAATCCGGTGCAGGACTAGAACAGGACTAAGGCAGGACCATCGCAAACCGTCTGCGAACCTCCATATCATGAGATCTCTCTGTTGACTCATCTGGCCTGCATATCCGGAAAACAGTCATACCGCCGGCCAATCGATAACGGTTTGGGTCCGATGCCATGCGGGGGTCTTATGCACCCTCTTTACAGCTGAGGGCATGGCGCCATGCCCAAGTGATTCTCTTGCTCTTCTCATTGACCAATAATCGGGCCAAAGGTCCAAGTAACGGACATTGATGCCTACCATTTGCCAATCGGTGGTTCAGGGCCACCATCCAGGTGGTACCTCGACAGGGAAAGGTGGGCTGTGCTGCCTGGAAGTTTGTGGGGATCCTGCCCAGAAAGTGGATGTTAGATCCAGTCCATCACTAAAGGCCCCTCCATTGAGCACAGGCCTGGCTTTTGCCGCGCTTCTCAGTGGGCAGTCCACCAGAAAGTGGCTGGTGTGCGTCTACGTGACCAATGCAACGGCGACTAGGGCCGCCACAAATGCTCAATTGCCAGTTCGGGTAACATAGGTAGGTCCTGGGGCTGTGCGCAATGGCTACTCCCGCGCGCCCTTTCAACGAAGGGGTCTTCCCTGTACGTCATGGGTTTCTAGCGAATGGCCCAGCTTCACACTCAGCCCTTTTCTCTTGCCTTGCTTGCCTCTGCAAGTGAAGCAGTGCGATAAGTGGCCGCCTGGTGTCTCCCATGAACCGACCCACTGAGGCTAGCTAGATGACGGATCATCTTCAAAATTTAAGTGATCGTGACTTGCAGGCATCCAGGTGCTAAGCTAGTAAGGAAATGATTCTGACGCTTAGTTCGTCCTGCCGTTTCGCCACTCCATTCACCATCTTGTCCCCGATACAACGTGCTTCACCTGCAACAAAGGGCCCTGGACGTGCTGCTGCCTGTGAAGGACCCGAGCATGTCAGAAAGGTAATTAGCCTTCAGCTCAACGCTGGTGGTACGTATAACAGCGGGGCACTAGAATGCACCACGCACATATCTAGGTAGGTAAGGTATGTCTGTAGGTACATAATCTGGGATGATTGCCCTGTCGGGCGCGGACAGAGGGACGGCACGACAATAGCAGGGATGGTCAAGCCCGCACCAAGCATCCGCAATCGGAATTGGGTGCATCCCCACCGGAGGCGTCTCCATTGGCTCGTGGCCATCATCACCACAAGGTTGTCACAGGCTCCAGAGTATTGGCAAAAGCTCCGGGCACCTCTCAGGTCAAGGCCCTGTGCATAGAGTTTGATTTTGGTCGATGAGCAGGCAGTCGCATAAGGAAGGTCGTTCCACTACGTCTATACCTAGGTACCTACTGCTGCTATATGTGTGGGGGCTTTTTCCACTTCAACATTCTTATGCTCGATTCCTGATTCGCCTCTCGCCTGCAGTTCTTGCACTCCGACGATAGTATTGATTGATTTCCACGCTTGCCAGCCTGATGAGAAAATTTCCAGAGCTCACTTGACTGATTTCACGTCCTCCATTACAAATCTTGCCGGGTCGGGATTTGTCAACAGGGGGTTCGGCCACCAGAAACCTGCTACAGGCTAGTGATGCTATGTATGGCAACGTCTATTAGTAGGGCTACCGGCAGTGTTGAACTCTGTCCGTCCGCACTGTATTATCTAATCGAGGTGTGGCTAGAATCGAAATCAGCCCTACGGCTGTGGCATTAGGCAGATTCACACCCTGGCCCTGGGAAAGGTGGGAAAGGTGGGAAACAGAAAGAGGCCTCACGCCACACGGGGCTCGTGGCGGTGCCGTCTTGATTTGCTCGACTGCACATGCGCGGTGACGCTTCTTGCTGACAATGGCGAAAAAAAGGAAATTGCATCGAGAGTGAGCCTCAATTACACCCTCTCTTACTATCTGCAACCCTCTCTCTTTTTTAGCATCCAGAATTGAGTATTCGCTTCCACTATTCTCCGGTCGCAGTGCGGGCCGCATTTACTGCCGGTGTTCTCTGCGCCAGTCAATCAGCCGCCGTCCGCTCAATTGGCGTTTCATGTAGCGCGCGACTCGATCTCGAGGCCTCTAGAGACGCGGCCAAAGACCCAATAACCGGGCATCTAGCCCAAGTCCAGTCTTCTTTGAAAACCTCTATATTTCGCCGGGTTCCTTTTTTACAACCAACAGCTCTTTCCTCTTTTTACTGCCTACGTGATGCATGCCCTTCCCGTTTAGCAACACGTCCAACCAACAGCCGTCGAGTATTTCCAAATTAAGCACGCCAACGCGTCCAGCATCGCCAACCATTTTTTCTACGCCAGACTCCACACAACCAACAAACCTCTTCTGAGCCAGCCAGCCAGCCAGCCGTTGCCCTTGGCGGTGTTTCCCAGCTGAGCGCCCATCTGGTGCTCTGCCGCTTGATAATCAGGCCCTGCCAAGAACATGCGTACGCAATAGGGGACCATCAGTCATGCCTCCTCGCCAGCCGCCCCTCCACACTCGTTTCCGACCTCGCAACCACACAGCGCACATCGTAGGTACATCTGGGCGAGCGGCTGAACGAAGCCTCTGCAGCACCTGCGCCCACCTAAACGTGAGCCTTCGCAGGTCTGGGCCGGTGGCAAATGAGTCTGTAAGTGTATCGTATCTGCGGCTGATGCTCCTGCTGTTGGACCCGTCCGGTTTCTCATCTCACCCTGCGTTTCATCTTGGTTTCCAAGTCGAGCACTGCCCCCCAAAACATATTCACCATGTTTTCGCAGACACTAGCTGGGTATCAGGCTCAGCTCCGTAGACCGCGAGGCTGCAAGCGCCCGTAGTGACTGACGCTGCCCAACCGGGGGAACCGTCGAGACACCAGACCTCCCCGTCCCGTTTCGATGAGCATTGATTCCTCTCACGCACACATGTGATGATCCTCCCGTTTGGTATTACGCAAGAAAGCCTGCATAAACGACGGCGAGGTCGAGGGCTGGCATACGTGGCTTCGTCGCTGCGACGTTTTTCCCAATCAATCCTGGGTTGCATTAAATGCTGGCGAGGCCCATGTAGGAGCCGTCGTGGTGGTAATGGTCCGCGACCCAACAGCCAACGCCTCGAATTCGTCTCGCTCCTGTCTGTCTGCCTGCCCGCCAAAGTCGCGTCATGTCGTACGTCATCACAGATGCAGGAGGGCTTTGCTCGCGTCTCTTGATTTTTTTCTTCTCTCCTCCGCCCTCTCATCCTTCCCCATGGCATCAGCCACCACCATCGCCGCATGCAGGTCGGGATCTAGACCGTCCTTTGCCATTACAAATACAGCTTAGGCTTATGGAAGAAGAATTTGTAACAGTGTGACGTTTATCAAATTTACCTATCATTGCTATTCTAGTTCACTCCGGACACCTCTTTCCTTGCAAAGTGAACGTGGGGGGCGTGTGATGAGGATCAAAGATCGCTCTCTGTGTTGAGACCACCCAATATCCCCAACAAGTCGCGGGATTTCGCCTCATGGTACATAGCTCTCCTTTGTATCTAATACATTCACTCGTAACCGTATTCATCCTCAAGTCCTTCCCGTACCGTCTAACCGTCACAGTTCCATCGCAGCATCGTCGTTGGCATATCTACATGTAGGGTAGGCATGTAGCCAACCCTCACCAGATTCATCGATGCGTTGGGACCGTTCCAGAAATCGCTACTATTAGTATATGAAGGGTATCTTGGCTAAAAACAAGTTTAGCCAAAGGCGATTTAAACCGTCAACCTCGGGAGGTGGTGCGTAAAAGACCTGAAATACGCCCGATGAGTGACCGTGACGAGGCATTTGACTCGGCGTAGTCCGTCTCGCCTGACACTCTCCTCCGCTCTTTCATCTCCTCGATGAACCTGGGCCACGTGTTAGTCAGGACCTGATACAGAATATTGCTGTGGGTGGTGTCAAAGACGGAATTGCTGAAGCCGCGCGGAATCTCCCCCATGTACCCGGCCCTCGCCTCTTGCGCGCCGCTGCTCTCCCCTAAGCTTGACCTTGGCAGTGAAGAAAGCGATGGTGATTGCTCGATGTCGAAGGGAGTGGCGGAGCTCATGGCTGGCTCCCCACACAGCGAATGCGCAGGCTCCTCGAAGATGCCCTTGAAACACCTGAGCTGTGTCGCCGACAAATTCAGAGGGAATTCCGCATGACGGGGGCTTATGAAGTCGGTGTATATCTGCAGCGCAGCGTTGTAAGCCTCCAGCTCCCGCGGCCCCTGGATAGCATCGGCGTAAGCTGACTTCCAGCTGGTGACTCGGCTGAGGAAGGCAATGTTCTCCCCAGAGAAGTCGTTGAGCGCAGAGAAGTCCTGGAGGGGGCTTGGGTTTGCTCCCAACACGAACTCGAGCGCACCCATGGTGCTTACTTGATCGCTCATATCTTCGCCAAGGAGATGGTCCATCATAGGTCCTACTTCCATTGCCATCGCTGATTCTTTGTGCACTTGGCTGAAAAGGTGTGACAACCCTATGGCGGTGGCTTGGAAGGATGTTTCCCACCTCGCGTGGGAGGCAGCTGCCTTGCGACATTGCATCTGCAGCTTGATGACTTGAAAGACGGGGATGAAGACTGTGAATACTTCGAACATCATGATGGACAGATGAATCCTCCACTCTCGCTAGTTAGCCTACTGCAAGCTTGCCAAACTTCAGGTGAAATAGCTAGGTAGTCATAGCTTACCACTGGATTGGATGGAAGTAATTGTTGATAAACTCGAACGCTGGAACATACTGCGCAATTAAGAACATGGGCATCGCATGGAGGCTAAGAATTCCATGTCAATATAATCCAGCCATCATGTGAAGAGTCAAGGCATCGTACCTGGAGATACAGCAACCAATAGTCTGGGTGCGCCATCCCATGGTATCATGGATTCCCCAAGCCCGCCAGGTCAGAATGGGTGCTACCTTTGGGGGATGTCAGCATGGGCAACTGGCGAGGGCTATTGTACGTACGATCCAGGCCCAAAGGACCTGCCATAGAACCGATGGCCACCATTCCCACCCTTTCCCCAAGTTTCTTATCTGCTCTGAAAGGTTGTCGCCGTGGATCCCAGTACCTGGGATTCCATAGGCAGGGTGATACTTGCGACAAGCCACCCACATGCTGATAGTGAACACGACCTGGTCCCATCGTTGAATTCAGCATGGATTCACGGACTTCAATTAGCCAGATAGAGAAAGCATACCTGCAAGATCATGCCAGCATTGGCTAGGATCATGACTTTGGACGTGTAGTCAAAATTTCTAAAACGGCAGAGCACCGAAGAATCACCATTGCACTTCACCCGAACCAGAGGTTGACTGGCGAACTGTCTCTGCAGCTTGGCAATATAGATGAGACGGCTGTTTGAAGCGTGAAGCAAAGCGATACCGAGGGGGAACCAGATACCCATGAAGAAGTACTGGATGTCATACGTAACGACAGTCGGGAGTGTCCTTCCAAAAGGGTAAATGAGTTGAGCGAGTATCCAGGAGGTATGCAGCAAGAGAATGGCTGAGAAAGAGAGGGGAAGCCCGCGAATTTTCAGGATGGGATTTCGACGATTGAGCCAGCAAAATATCATTCCCGCAAAAACGAGAGTGCTCCAGGTGCCGCAGAAGGAGACGAAGAAAATGCCGACTTTGTCCCATTTGGGCGGGCTCGGGGGAAGGTTGTAGACGGTCACATTTTCGCTCGTCGCCATCTCGTTCGATGATTTACTGATTGAACATGCGAACTGACAGAAGGGGAATGGATGGAAAGGTATGGAATATATGAGAAAAAGATGTCTGAGACGTATGTTATCCCGCCAACGTGGATGGGTGTGGGGTGCAAACCACATCTGCCAAACTCTGGGAGAGGGCTAGATCTATTGACCGGCCTTGCTCGGCGTTTCTCGTAGATGCTTCTTCTGCAATGGTTTATCGTTGTTGTTGATCCAAGACATGCATGAGCGCTTTGATTATGCTCAACTTACTACCTACTAAGGAGTGACAGTCTCGACCCTGGGAAAAAGAAACCATGATACTAGGTGAGACCTTGTTTCCTTTTCGTCTGTTTTCTCCTCTCAAATGTTCAATTTTCTTCCTCAATTCAAGATGCCCCCCCAATTAGATCATCTTTCATCGGTTTGTAGGCTGACTGTGGTGGTTTATATTCAAACCATTGAAGCTGGGTTGGAGAGGCTATCGCGCCCGACCAGCAATTTGGCAGTTCAATTGCAGCAGGTATCATCCTCACGCAAGGGAATAGCAATAAATAGGGCTCTCATTGAAGTAGCTTATTAACTTAAGCTTACCCTGCCTGCTGGGCAAATACATTCATGGGTCCGGCAGGTACTGACTGAACGTGAAGTTCTTGACCATACCTGCACTACCTATGCGAAGGAGATCAGGTAATTTTCAACACATTTCGTTACTTGCTATGCAAGATGAGGTGTGTATGTCATGTGGAGATTTCAATTTGTCTATGTAGTACGAGAACATGGCACATTGCAGACGAAATCCCATGTACCAGCCCGGCAACCAGTCGACTACCCCCCAGCCAACCTGAAGTTGGTGACAGAAGAAATGAGACACTGGTTTGAAGGATGCTCTCAAGCAGCACACTTTCTATAGTGATCAAACTAACAAGGCCAATATTAAATGATATAAACAAATAATGATTGCTGTACTATCCTTAGATATTTACAATTAGCTCTTAATAAACCGACAATACCGCTCACAGACTCGACAACAAGCAGTATAATATTTTGAGTGTCTCAAATCCAATGTCACCCAGTTGCCAGCGCCCTCGATGATGGCGCTAACCTCATCATTTTTGAGACCGTTTCGCGTACAGTTCCAAGACACGGCTGTGATCGGCGTGCCCCCTTGCAGAACCGCTGAGATCGTTCCACATGGAAACGGTAAATTTCGTTGCCAGTCCTCCAGTTACCTCCCCAATGCCTGATTACCAGAACTGATTACTTGAACTGGTATGAATATACCTCGCCCTGCACCGGCTCCCGCGTCTCCCCACCCGCCAAGGTCAAATGATGCGCTCTCGTCTCGTTATCTGCTGTGCCTGGACCATCATACAGTCCGACTTCTACACCCTAGCCTACAGCATATGTAAATCCCTACATCAACCGCAACTGCATGATATGATGCCGAAATGGCCGCCAAGGAGCTTCCCACAATCGAAATCACGCTCTTCATTGGCGAAATTGCCGTGCCTAGGAAGAATAGTAGCGCAATAACGCCGCTGATGAGCGCAAAAATCATGGCGATGTTTGAGTAGGCATAGGTGGTCGCGAATCACGCATCCCCGCGCCATGACTATCGGTGCCCTCCACCTTGGCGAGGAACAGAGCTTGCGAGGTAAGCCGATGAAGGACTGTTGAGAGCCCCAGTAGAAGGGTTGAGAAGCGGTAGCGCAATTGAAGGAAGTAGGACCCAGATGGCTTCGAGGAGCGAAGAGTCTTGCGGGGACTGGCGCCGAAGTCTGCCCATTCTGTACTGGCGCACATGGCAGCGAAGAGGGTGTTGAAGGAGTAGTAGAGGATGGAGAGGAGGAGATGGGGCGTATTGGCGAGAACGACCATGTTGAGCGTGGGCTGTCTCTAGGACTCGTTGCCAGGTTGCCTTTGTGAATGAATTGAAATGTGGGCGCGCGAAACCGTTCAACCTGTGGCTTTCGTTCCCGTTCTAGATGTTTCTGTTCGTGAGGTAAGACTCATCTACCACTGCTAATATATTTTCTGTCACCAGACTAGAAGAGAAGACGGCAATGTTGAAGATAGTGCGTAGTGGTAGAGAAGTCACCACCAAGGGAGCCCATATGAGTCTCTCACTGATGGGGTGTGGCTTAGATTGCGTAATGAAGGCATGCCAAAGGCCAATGATTTCAATCTCCTCGCGAGTTGGCGAAAGAGAAATTTGCATGCAACAGTTGGATGCGGCGAGCAGGATGGTCGAGGGAATGTTGATGAGCAAGTGCAACCATGTATTGAGGGCGCTCACCCTCGAACAGGAGCCCTCAAATAGAACCTCGATGGACCCTTCACTGGTGGTGAAGTGGGGTTGGATGTACAACGACAGCTCAGATGGTCCAAGCTAGATTGAAGGTCAAGATCACCCATCCAGTTATGGATGATGCCAGGAGCACCTGTTTGTGGGGTTAGGCATTCATTTCAGGCGACGAAGAAGAAGAGGGTGATACTAGAGGAGAGGCACTGGCTGTGAGAGTTGTGGATTTATCGTAGATTGTGGCACCGTTGCCATTGCCAAGAGAGGTGCACGGGGGTTACTACTTGTGAAGAGGACCTGAGTAGACACATATGAAATGAAGCTCGTGTAGTGCCACGTCTTGGCAACAACTGGTGAAATTATCAAAACGGCGCGGCATCTTGCGTGTCTATATAAATACATGTTATGAGTTTTATTCTGCTGAGATCAGAGGCCTTGCTCCTGCCAGAATTTGTAGGACGCGTATGTGGGTGGTCGGATGGATGAGCTTGCCTCGTCTCTTCGTGGCCCAACCGCGAGTGTGAGTCTTCAGAGATCACCTCAATGAAAGTTTGAGAAACTCATGTAACTCCGTAGTAGACATGTGCCCTACCTCGCCAAGATAACCGGATGGATCATTGCCAGTGATAGATGTCTTTATGACTTTGCGCAGGAACCATTTTGCCTCGACAAAGTGTCGCGAGTAAAGATTCTCGCTTAGTGTCGCCGGATCTTTCCCACCCACGATCCCACCCCACAGCTGATGGCATCGGTCAAGCGCTTGTTCCAATGCTGAGGCACATAGTGGGAGCGTCCCCGACAACCTTGCCGATGTCACGGTTGTGCTGAAGGCTGTGGAATTCTATGAGTATGTTGAGATATAGGAATCTTGGGTAGCAGGAGACTCACCTAGGACTAAAACAATCATATCCGGCGTTGTTAGTGATCGTAGCGGGAAATTATCTGGGGATGTCCAGGTTGGGTCTACCAAGGACTGGTGACACTGCCAGAGCGACGCGGTGCGTTTACCTCGACCTTGATCAATCAGCGATTGGAAATGGCCGGCCGTCTTAGCCTCCCAGACATCTTCGAAGCATTGAAAGTCTCCTGTTATCTCGGAGATACTCATGGAAGGCGGCATGTTGAATAAGATTGACTGCTGCGCAGCAGACAAGAAGACCCAAATACCTAGCCTGATGTAAATCAATGGCTCCTGGTCAGCAGAATACTACATATCAATATTTGCTTGTAGAGGAGGCAGTTAAAGGGGAGCGTCTGCGGGTAATATGCGAACCTGATTTGAGTTTCTTTGAGGATGAACTCGTCCCAGTCCACCGGTTCTCCTTCTGGGACACGGCTATGCCTTGCATTCGAGAAACCTAGCTTGCGGATGGTAGAAACAAGCACAGGAAGTCTACGGTCCCTATTTCTCTCTCGCCTCTGAGGCTCGTTCATTATAAATTGTAAGCCATGCATCAGCAGAGCGCCCTGGAGAACCTGACTCAAACGAGCGAGTTCGACCATCGAGTCGGTCTCCATGATGCCGTAGTTTACGTACTTATCTACAAGACCGCGTAGAGTGTTGAAAGCGTACTCTTCAGCTAAATCGAAGAGAAGTGGCGTGGATAGAGCTACATCGCTCGGCGCGGCATGCATCGACCCGCAGAGAAATACGGCCATGAGGAGCACAGGATGGACCTCGTGTGGGTTGAAAGATGGACGATGAACAATCGGGACCTCTGGGTGCGAGAAGCGGAAGAACTGGTGAATGAAGGATACGTTCTCGGGAACAAACACTTGCTTGGCCTGGTCCAGTTGGAAGTAGTACTGAGGCCCATCAGTGCACGATGAGAGCGCCGTGTGAAGATTTCCGAGATTGTCGATGATGATATTAAAACACCCCGTGAGCTTTTTAGAGTCATTGTTGACGTCGGGAAGGGTATCGAAGAAGGGTGCCCAGCTGTCGTCAGCGAGGCTTTCCTTTTGTCTCAGCATGCCGAGAAGGGGATCCTGGAAAGGCGTTGGGGATTCTGTTGTGGTTCCACGAATATTGATATCTACAGAGTTCTTCTCACGGCGGTCTTGGTTCGAGAAAAAGAGATCAACAAGACTTCTTGCGCCTGGGCTGGTGACGGTGAGTAGGAACCAGGGAATCAGATCGGCATCCTCAGCTGAGGGAGGGGAGCCTGTAACCGAGGCATCTGTGACCGGTAGGGTTTCGTCCAGCTTATTTTCCGGAGTCTCATTATGTGTATCATCAAGGCTGGTGTGAGAGGGAGAGACCTGTTCTAGCCTGAGATATGTGCAGGCATGTTGACGTGAGGAACAGCGACCGCAAGGTGACTTGCCGTCACAGCCCAATCGACCCCGAAAGCAGGCATCACAGGCGCGCCTCTTTTGGCCGCGGCGGAGTTGAGGCAGCTGCTCATCGCCGTTCTTCAGAGGGCAGGCCAGGAAGTGCTTGCGACATACATCCCTATATCGAGTCAGTGGGGGCTATACATGTGTTAAAGGGACAGCCATACTGGCGACCGAATGACTTATGGCAAGCAGGACACTTGAAATTCGTTACATCTTTATCTAAACCCCATGATGAGCGATTGCGTGGATAGGTCCGAACCAATGATATTGTGTGTAGGTAGGCATGCATCTGGGTGGAGGGGGAGAGTCAGCGTTTGGCAAGGCTTGGGTGCCACTCACGGATTGCCTCATGACGTCGCAGATGGCTGACTCGCTGGTACTGCTTGCCACAAACGGCACATGCCAGATCTCTCTGCAGTGGCGTGGTCATGGGTAGAGGCAGACATGGACAGATGTTCCTTGGCTGGCTGTTGGTAAGTGAGACGCTGCGGAGGAAATGTGCTGGGGATGGATCAACCAAGAGAGTGTTCAACTCAACTGAGAACTCAGCCTGAACAGTGGGCACGCGCCCGCTGGGGGTTTTTTGTTGGTGCTGTGGGTGGGTTCATCCCGGGGGGCTCTAAGCCCGGACCAAACCCACCTCCAGCGCATACAGCGGAGGATTGAATGGACCTCCAGCGGATACAGTGAGGGATTGAATGCACCTACAGCACGAGCCTGTGCAGATAATCTCCCCAATTCAGCTGTCACCATATCATCACCCGTTGAACATGTAGTGTCGATATTGTGCCGTTGAACACTACCAGACACCTCTCAGTGCGCTTAGAGCCACAGGTATCATTTAACTAAGAACTAAAATACAGGAAAACCCGCTAGGACACGGCTCAAGACAACCATTTTGTAAACCACGCAACAGCCTGCGCCTCGGCCTTGTCAGCACACTCCTGCTGATGGGGATCGTCTGGCTTCGTCCGGACAGCAAACCCGTGCTTCGCGCCCGGCATGATGACGAACTCATGCTGGCCGGCATCCGACTTGGCCTCGAGCGCCTTCTTGGCCTGCTGCGCGACCGGTCCCTTCATGGCCATGTCGACGTCCCCGACAGCGATGCTTGTCGGCACCACGATGGCGTCAATGTCCTGAGGGACCTCAAAGTACGACGGGTGGGCTGCGAAGAAGGCATCGATCAGGGGCTGGGGCTCGGACTGGCTGCTGCTCTTCTGCGATGCGTGCCGCTGGACACGCGACTCGGCCTTGTCGTGGGATAGGAGGACGCCGTGCTTGGCTCCCCAACAGAACCCTGCCACGCCGACCTTGAGATTCTCAGTGGGGAACGGTGCCTCGGCGCGGCGGACATCCTGAAGGTAGGAGATGACGCGAGGGTGTGTGATGGGGATTGATGCCTTGGTCCTGAACGGGAGAGCCAGTCTCAGGGCATGAAAGATGTAGTACGGCTTGCAGAGAGTCTCAGTCCATGACTTTGGCTCCATGATCTTGTCGAAATAACCAAAAGCCTGGAAGTCTAGCTCGAAGCCTGTGTCGATCGGTTAGCGTCGTGAAGGAAGGGAGTGACCGGGAACGGCAGTACCATCCATGAAATCCGGGCAGTAGACGAGAAACCCGGCCTTGGCGTAGCGGTCAGACAAGACTCTGTTGTTGACAAACTTCCAGCCAAAGGCATCCGTTATGAAGATGATGAGGCCCTTGGGAGTGACCCCCGGCTCCGGCTTGGCAACATAGGTGGATCGACCGTGGATGACCTCTTCGGAGCCTGTGGGCTTCGACTCGGCGATTCCTCCACGGAAGCAGTCGGGGCAGGACATGGTCGCAAATTAGGTACTGTGTTGGCTGGCCCGTGGTGGATGCAATGCGTGACTTCGCTTTCGGTGAACTCCTTTCACATTGGGAGTATGTCATTGATGGGATCTACCCCGTTGGCGAGAGGAAGAACGACGACACAACATGAAATGGGGTATATATAACATGTCATAATGTGTTGGAATGTGAGCCCCTTCGGATTTAGCCGTAGATAAAGAAACACCACCAAAATCAATGCATGAGGAGCGCCAATTGGTAATTTCGCCCAGGGTGGGCGTCTTGCAGTACAGCGCTTCCACGGCATACAGTCATTTATTACCGGTGACTCAATTGGCCGCATCTCATACTGCCAGGATATTAGATAGCTAAACCTGACATCACCGACCCCTGCCATCATACATTGATCCGCCGGACGCGTTGCCGAGTGGGCTGCTCACCCTGGCCTTCGGCACCGAATCGGCATTTGCCCTCTTGATGGAATATCACAACTGCCGTTTATACCGTTTGCTCTCGTCCGGCCGCCATCACTCTAGGCGATGGCATCCGGTAGGCCTGACGGCTCGTTATGATACATCTTGAATAAAGGATCCCACACCGTCACAGCTCTGGCTGAGACTCGCCCGTTCTGAAGCGCTGGCCTGGGGACTGGCAATATCTTGTCCGCCGAGCACTCCAGCGCTTCCCCAGCCAAGGTCTTGTCCTCCAAGCACTTCCTGTACGCAGCCACAATGGTCGATATTGGTGTTAGGCTGATCGAGGGGAATTTTGGACGATTGTCAGCTGCGAAATTGAAAAGAAACGAGTAAAAAATGGGGCTCACCATTCAGAAGAGACGGCCGCTACCATCTCGGGAGGGATGATCTTGGTCGCTACTATGCCCGGGAGTACGCAATTGATGCGAATGTTTTCCTTCTGTCATTGAAACCTCGTCAGAGGATCTTCTCTTGCCGGAATCTCCTTTCATTCCCGCTTCTTTGGTCACTTACAAGGCTGAGAATACGTGACGTTGCCCGCACAAAGTTCATGACCTAGACTGTTGTGTTAGCCAGGAGCTCTCATCATTCGGCAGGTTTCCATCACCAGCCAACCTTCCATGTATACAAGAGAGACACATACAGTTGCCTTTGCTCCGTCATATTCGGGGTATGTCTCATGAGGCGTTACAGCCGCTGCGCTGGCCGTCACCACAATGCTACCGCCTGGAGTCGAGTTTTTGCGCATGAAATGAATCGCTAGCTGTGTTCCATATACAACCCCTTTGTAGTCCACATCGGTGCAGAGGAGGTTAGGCTTCGGTGGGATTCTTTCCTGGGAGTGTGAGATTCAACTCTCTTTCTCCTCCTGGGAGGCGATGAGGGACCAGATACTCACACATCTGAGCCCCGGTGGTCGAATATGAAGATGGAGCTGCCTTCCAGTCAGCACCTTGTCGATCAATCATGTGCGTCTCCGATTACCTCTTATCTACTATGCCTGCATTGGCACACAGTGCGTCCAGGCGCCCATACTTGTCCCAGACCGCTTGGAAACACTGCGCCTGGCTGTCATAATCGGCGACGTTGCAATAGTGGTAGCTGGCATTCTCGCTGAGCCTGGAGCTGAGCTGGGGATTTTCATTGATGTCGGCCATGGCGACTCGCCATCCTTGACTTGCCAGGTCTTCAGCCAGGGCTTCTCCCATCCCCGACTAGAGTAATCGTGTAAGCCTCTCCGTTCCACGCCCGCCAGCCTGGTCCAAGCCATGTCCAACTTACCGAAGCGCCGGTGACGATGGCTACCGGCTTGGAGATCATCTTTCTATTGCTGTTTGCTAATTAGGGTCGTTTCCTCCTGGAACAGCTCACTGCAGCAAGGATATGCGGCAGCCCAAGGCTGGACTTATCAACCAGTAAATACCTTGTCTCTCCCACATTCCTATACAAACGTGCTGTAGGGGCTATCATTCTCCAACGCGAGATCTGCATTGTTGATAGCCCTCGGAGGATCAGGCCCGTTCCACTGGGAATAGAGGAGGCTCTCGGTAAGAACATTCGGCAATTTCTATGAAATACACCTCTCCGCTTAGTCGTGCCCCGGGTGAGAGTGTCCCACCTCATCAGAATGCGGGGATGCGCAGCCTCAGATCTCAGTTGCAAAAGCAAAGTTCATCCTGTGATGCAGGGTTCTCATCCCATCCCGGAGTCCTTTTTCCTTCCAGGGCTGCAATCCTGGCCTTCAACCCTTGCCATTCAGATCTCCGTCATCTGGTCTCGCTGAATAGGATCAATTGCACCTACATCAGATCACGTGCCGTAAGATAGACATTGACTACGAGTCATTAGTGCTATTCCTTGTCCAAGCTCACTCGCCCTCTCGTACGTCGATCAAATCAGATCCAAGCCAGCCTCAATGCAGCCAGGACTACGTTTTCCGAGGGGTGGGTCTAACTTGGGCTCCAACGTCGAATGAACTTGGATACTTGGGATTCTGGGGTGTGTTTGATGAGATGGCTTGTGTTCAATTCTTTGTTAAAAATCTGCATTCTGTCAGGGTCCATATAGAATGGACTTAGCGGGATTGGTTGGTCAATCACTGTACTCGCCTTGAATAATTAAATAGAACGATATCCCTGCCTTCTCTTTTGTGCGCAGGCGCAGCAAAGTATCCTCACAATCCGGGGAGCCAATTCCTAAAATCGAAATATACGGAACCATCTACAAGCGCGATTCATCTCGCCATGTCGGTCGTAGAGGGCGAGAAGGGATCGACTGACGTCGAGAAGGTCCAGCCAGCTACTCCAATTCACGCCGAGCATGCACCAAAGGAGGAGGCTTCGTATATCCCACAGAGCGATGAGGAATATCAAGTCACATTCAAGACGTGGATCGTCGTCTCGGTGAGATTGCCCTCGCCTAGACAGATGCACGGTTCTCGATGGGGTTCATGCTACTGACACAGGTTCCATTTAGATCCTTGCTTGTTCATATGGCATCTCCTTTTGGATCGTGCCCGCCCTCAGTGCATGCCAAGCTGGTGTAGCAACTCAACTGGGTGATGCCACTAAGCAGGCATGGTATGTGCCCATCTACACCATGACTGTCACCTTGGCCTTCATGTAAGTACGGAGCGAGTCGAGTGTTTACAAGAGGAATGGACCATCGTTTTTTTTCAACTTGACTAACAACTGTACGACAGGATTTGTGGTGCCAATTCTGATTTGTTTGGTCGCCGATGGTTTATCATTGGTGGAAACGTGCTTCTCTTCATCGGCTTCATCGTAGGAGGAACGGCCAAAAACAATACCTCGTTAATTGTCGCCCAAGCGTTTATTGGATTCGTAAGTAATCTCCATCGATTCAAATATCTCATTGAAATTCTAATACTCACTATCTGGCAGGGAGCTGGAAACGCCCAGCTTGCAGCATTTGCGCTGCCAGAGCTATTGCCCAACAAATGGCGACACTCGGCCATCGTTCTAGCAGGTAAATAATCCTGCCCCCAGTACTTCTTCCAACTCATTAAACTCTCTCCTTCAATTCAGATGTCGGTGTGTATTTTGCCGTTATTGTTGGGCCTGTTGCAGGCAGATTCGCTATCCAACAGGGCGATCAGGTTCGTCTCGCTTCCACTCATCCTTCACTCGATCGTTTGTCCCTCACTCATTTCTTACTGACAACTCGATATCAGTGGAGATGGCTCTTCTACGGCCCGGCAATTGCCGTCGTCTTCTCTTTTGCTGGTCTTTATCTCTACTACTATCCTCCAAAGCATCCCCGCGGCTTGCCAACCGGCCAAGCGCTCCGAGAACTCGACTATGTCGGGGTCGTTCTCTTCACATTGGCCACAACCCTTATTCTTACCGGTATCGTCTACACCACGACCCTGGCTTCATCGGACCCTACAGTCATTGGAACTTTATGTTCAGGCTTTGGCTGCCTAGTTGCTTTTGCTCTATGGGAGACGTTCGCCCCTCTCAAGCAACCCTTGACACCAACCCGAATCTTCACTCGTGACAATGGAAGAGAGCTCACTGCCCCTTTTGTTGTTGGTTTTGTCGGTATGTCTACAACAATAATCGCTAATAATTTTTATTCTGTCTGGCAGTCTGACACAAAACGTGGATAGTAACCATGTTCTATTATTGCTTGAATGTCGTCTACCCGACCATGATCGCTGTCTTTTTCACAGATGAAACCACCGACTTCCGCTATGCAGCTGTTCTCACACTTCCTCAGAACCTCGGTCTGACCTTTGGGGCCGTCCTGCTCACCTGCTTTGGATCGATGATCGGTCGCTGGCGATGGACTCTGACGGGCTCTGTCACCATCATGGTCGTTTTCGGTGCCCTCTTGGCACTGGCGACTCCAGACAGATTCGGCATGGTCATTGCCTTCATCTTCCTTTCAGAGATCGGTTTTGGCTGGGCGCAGTATCTCAGCATTGCATACATCCAGTTTGGCACTGAACAGGTCGAGCTGGGCATCTCTGGCGGTCTTGCGTCAGTCCACTTCCCATCCGTTTCCCACTCACTTGTACACTAACAAGATCTGCAGAGGCGTGGCTCGCTTTGCCGGCGGATCCGTCGCCATCTCAATTTACCAAACCATTTTGACTAACGTCCAGACAAAAGAGGCTGCCAAGCTTATTCCTCCAGTGGCTATTGCTGCTGGCCTTCCCGAGACTTCTGTCAAAGGTCTCCTTGCCGCTCTCCCCCTCGGGTCGGCTGCCCTCGCCGAGGTGCCGGGCATCACAAACGAGATCATTGCTGCCGCGGCTGAGGCTTTCAAGCAGAGCTACGTTGTTGGTCTCCGTACGACGTGTTTGTCCTCACTATCCTTCGGGGTGATTGGAATTATTGGTATGTTTGTCCTCACACATTGATGAACGAACACGAGTAGGAATTGCCTCTAACTCTTTGTCGCAGCTTGTTTCTTCTGCCAAGATATTGAGCACAAGATGAACGACAAGATTGAAATTTTCTTGGAGAACGATACAAATGCGGACAAGAACAAGTACCATTGATCTTCAGTTACAGCTATGGTGGGAGAAACCATGCTCAGGATGGCTTGGGTGTGATTTCAGTTGAATATTCCTAAGAGATACCCCTTATCACTCAATATAATTAAGTAGTATCAAAAACACACAACCTCGTTCCACCAGTCACCTGGACCTCGTAGATCTCAAGCTGTTCATGCTCACCCGTGAACACCAAACACATAGAATTGACACCAACATCTTCTTACCGCCCAGCTCAGTCTGAATAGATTTTTTTATTCCCGCTCAACTAACTGCCTGTCCTATAACTAGTTAAACCTGTGCTGTTCAATATTTCGCCTGGCAATATTTGGATTCCCATCATTCAGGTTACGAATTCGTGGCTGACTTTGCCAAGCGCAATGCAAGGGACCTGGTTCCCGTGATGAAATGCCATCTCGGAAAACCTCTACCGAATTCCTTTGGTAGCAGCTCACCCCTGCACACAGACCACCCAACCTTTGGGTGCCACCCATCTTTAGGAGCTACTGATTCATTATTAGACCTATCTGAGTTTGTTATGGTGTTGGTATGATGATCGCCCCGTTCAGCTTTGGCATGTGGAGTTGGGACACGCTGCTCTCGGCCGCCTCGTGGGGAAGCGGTTGCTACGGAGGGAGCTAAAGAACAAGGTCGTAGTGGGGTTATTCTTAATTCTGGATATCAAATGCCTAAGACGTGGAAATGGTTGGCCGAGTGTCTGCTCAATGACACCAGACGATGTTTGCTATTGAAGCTTAGAGTGTTGCTCACGGGTCGTTTCATCCAACAGTGACTTCAAATACAAGATAAGGAGGCATAACTTCGAAAAATGTAGCAAAAAAAAAACAATCCAATTCCCTCAGCAGAACCACCACTGCTCAGTCTCGGTCTCTCGGTACCTTCAATGTCTCAATCACGGCCCATCACAGAGAGGTTCTACCTCTTCGGGAATTGCAACATTGTCCCAGACCGTTACGATGACGTTCGTTAAAGCCACCCATTCATCTACCTTCCTAAATTTTGCAAACCAGATACTGACTTCACGTCACAGTGGCAAGCCGCATACGACAAACTAGCGGAACATGTATTCGCCAATGAACCCAACACACTCACCTACTATTTTGGCATTCCCCTGGAGCATGCGGCTAATCCATCCCGCACCGACTCCATGCTCGCTTTTGAGATCTACAGCTCCCGCTCAGATCTCTACGATATTCATCTCAAGTCCAACGTTATGCAGGGCCATTTCCTTCCCAATGCCGGCCCTACCATGACGACAGGTCTGGACCTGACACATTATTCAGCTGTAGGAGGATTTCTCGACCGCTCCGGGCAAAAGAACGAGTGCGGCGTTATGCACGATATTCAGATCCGATGCAAGGACAAAGCAGCAAGGACCGAGCTGCTGGGGGCGTTGAAACTACTTTGCGGCCTGGTAGAGGATGCAGAGAGCCAGGATGGAAAAGTCCAGACCTTCTTGGGACTGCAGTCACTTGATAATGAAGAGGGGGCCCGTATATATGCGAGGTACGAGAGCCGGGAGGTATGGGAGACGTGGCTAAGGAGTAGTTTGATCAAGACGTTTTGGGAAGCCGTGAAGCCAAATGTTTCCAGTATGGAGGCTCGAGCTTATGCACCCAATGGCAAGGGATGGTTATGGAAATGATGCAGCCCCCCAAGATCGTGCTGCATCGGCCTTCATAAGCTAGTATAAACCTATCGAAGTCAATTGATACAAAATACAGCCTCGATTCTGTTATTTCTATACCTTGGGTAAGATGAAGCATTCGAAGTAATTCATAACTTAAATGGCGACGTTCAGAGTCGTAGAATCCCAGAGGCAGCGGCATAGCGGTAGAGGACCGCGTTATCGGGTGAAGATTGACGTTCATCTAGTGTTTCACTGAGAGGTTATAACAAGCAGTCACGAAAGGAATTGGGACTGCGGTGTGCTCGATCAATTGCACTTTTCCGATCAATAGTGGAGGATGAAGAAGTATCAAGGCGATAAACAGTATAGATATATATTTAATACGCTGGCCACAGATAATAACAAGGTATTTCCTGGTATTGAGAAGAAAATATGGTGGATTAATTTTATATTGTCGCTTTGGGGTGCAATAATTCGGCAGGGCAGAGCGCCAAACGAGGTCATCACACCCTGTTTGGTCTTGGAGCTGGTACCAATAAGGGAGCTCGGATGCGAGCCAAACGACGATGTCTAGAACAGCTGCAAGCACCCCAAATGGAGAACAGAAATCGGAAGGCCCTGTTTGTCATTTCCAACCATTAGTTGATCTCCAGTCACTCGCTAACGGATGGGGCAGGAGATAATGACATACGCAACAGCAGCAACAAAACCCTGCGCAGCACGGAACATTTCATGTTTGGTGTTCCAGATGGTCCTGCCAGCCTCAATCTCCGGGGCCCTTATTCGGTAGTTGGAGAAGACAACCATTTGAGAGACATTTTGATCACGGAGGTCCGAGAATAGCAGTAGCATCAACCCCCCCATGCATACCGCCAGCGAGAAGAGGTCGTGCAATACGGCGCGGGGCGGCGACAGGGGTACGAAGTTGCCAGTAGTGTCGACATTGGACACCATTTCCCAGCTGTCGTTGAGGAGAGCGATTGCGGACTGTGGCAGTAAATTGTGAGCTCGCTGAAAAATGCATTGATACGTGGCAGCGGAAACAGGGGTGGGCGAGACAGGACCAGAGAAGAGTCCCAGGACGACAGATTGGGTTGTCTGTTGGGCATGAACCTACACCGACAAGGCCAGCAGCAACCGTCCCGCCTTTCTCGGGCCAGCACCTAACGATATAGCCCAGAATGACAATGGCGCCCAGGTCGGTCAGCCAGCCCAGAAGGCGGGCTCCAGAGTGGAGGAGAGCATAAAGGGTTGGGAGTTGCCGATCGGGGGGCATTCCAAGGTCGGGAGTCCAGGCGATGCGCCCGAGTCTGTCCTTGGCCGACGCGTATGTACGCAGCTGAAGCTATATCGAGCTTCTCGAAGGGCGGGCGGGCGGCACTCGCTATCGCTACAGCATTTAATGCGACGGGCTGGTGGTGGAACGAGCTGTCGAGATCATTGCAGGCGGGCGGACAGTATGTCGACCTGTAGCTATTGACTGACGTCTTGATCGGGGCAGCAAGAATTATAAAAATTAAAACAGAGCTCGAGGGGGTAGCAAAGAGGTGGAGGGGAGGAAGTAGACGACGAGGAGCTCGGGTAGGGAGCTTTGGGCCATTCCTTTGTCTTGATTACATGGCGTGCGGAGTCAGCGTTCCATGCAAGCTGCAGCAATCAACAAGTGCACACAAGCACTGGCATGTGGGCAGGACCAGTGGCGGCTGGAGAGGCGGGAGGGAAGACATGGAGGGGCCAGTGGTGTGAAACAATGTGAATCCCTTTCCATATATGGGGAAGGGCCGTCGATGGCGGCCCAGAGCTCTGATTCGATGACAGTCCCGTGACGTTTCTTTTCTGGACTGTCGCCGTGGCTGAATGTTGTTCAGCTGTGTCAATGCATGCGATCGGGAGACACACCAGCACCTAGTGCCCTTGGCAATTGGCACCTGGGGGCCAGAGAAGGATCCTTCAGCAGTCGCTTGTGCTTCAAGAAGGGCTGTTCATCTGCGCAATCGGCTGTAAGCAAGACAAGGGCAGAGATGGCAATGATGCATCCACCGTCGGACCCCATCGTGAACCTCCCTTGGACCCAAGCCGAGATCGAGGTCGCGACGTTGGTCGGCCTGCATCGAGCTTGACCATGCACCAGCCATCCTCAGAATTGTGCCAGCACCGGCGAGACAGGAGAGGCCCAATTTGTCTCGACCGCATGAGACTCAAAATGACCTGTCAATGTTGCTGCGTCTGGTGTGTTTATGTTCTCACAGCTTGTGGTGGAACTACCCACAAAAGCACCTCTTTCCTTCCTTGGCAGATCTCGATCTTGTCACTGTCTTACCCTAGAGTCAAGGATTATTGCTCCCTCGACAAGCTACATCCACCCGCCTCACACATCCACCCTTGACATCACGACAAGCACAGATCATACATGACAACGAAATCAGTTAGAATGCATACTCCTCGACATGCAGATATATACCTTGCGCGCCTGTCCCCTTATGTACTGCTCGCTCGTCGCTTAGCCGGCTCACACAGTTCCTTGTGCGAGCAGTGAGCTCCTTGCCGCCACAAACCACGACCGCTGTCTCGCCCCATGCCGCTTCGACTGGCTCTCTGATGACTTTTTCGATATCCGGTCTGCTCGTATACGTTCGTTCTTCCGACCCATCGCTCGTATTCTCCCCCTTTGCGTCCTCCGTCGCCTTCTCTTTTGCCTCGCAAGACCCATGGTTTTGCTCGGTGCAAGGGGCCTTGGCCGGCCCGTCTGAACGATCGGTCACTGGTTCGCTGATGCCGTGGTCTGTACTGAGATCTCTATCTGGTAGATCGCTCCCTGGGTGGACCTGCCCTTCGCCTGTGATGGCAACATGGAGCACGACCTCGATACCCTTCTGACGAGCTTCACGTGCTGCCAATCGAGCTCGGTCGACGTAATACTCGATTTCTTCGCCCCTCCTTGCAACCATTGCCATCTCTATCTTTCGAACGCATACGGTTTTTGACTCGCTGCTGGCCATTCGAACGACGCTCTCAAGTATAGGTAGAGTGAAGCTCACTCCGCTCGAAGCTCCAACAAGAACCAAAGTGTCGTAAGCCTCCCAGAGTGGCGGGACTCCGTATGGCCCCGACAGAAACCCAGTCAAGTCCGGGCAGTCGGGGTGTTCTTTCGCGTAAGCGTGGAGCCGTTTGGAGAAGCCACCATGTGCTCGCACAATCAGCTGGACGCTGTTGCAGGTGCAAATGTCTGGTCCAGTGGTGGGCTGGTGTGCGCACGCAATCGTATATGGATGCGCCTCCAGCAGCCCGACCCGCGGGAGCCAGAGGTAGACGTGCTGCCCGGCATTCCAGGCAAAATGGACGTTCTTTATTGTCACCAAAGTGGTCATCTCCCCCACCGCCTGCACAGATACATGGTGGCCGAAGCCCTTCTGCCCTTGGCACGAGGTCTTGTCGGGCCGTAGTCGTATATTGCGCCAACCCAGCAGCGCCCATCGAGCGGCGCGATCAAAGACAAGAAAGGAAACAGACATCCATAAGAGGTACCGCGCTGAATCGGGGATGTGGATGTGTATCAGCCATAGCATCACGATGGACGCGATGACGTGCTGCGCGACCCATATCTCGTATGCAAGTCTTCGCAAGGGCAAGATGCCCGTCACAAAGAGCCATAGCAAGATCCCCCACGCCCCGATGCCGTACTTAACAAGAGGCGTCGTCTCCAGCGCATACTCGACAAAGTCAGCGCGCGCCCACATGGTCCAGAAATGGAATCCGTGAACAGTCGCGGTAATCAGCATCGTACGGGCGACCCAGCGGTGCAGCCAGTTGAGCCGCTCATGACTCGAACCGATGAGAAGACCAATTGGGTTGACCTTCATGGCCAACAGGTAGAGCATCGGTAGTTGTGCCACTGTCACCCATCCATTGCGGTACCCAATCCGTTCCCAGTAGTAAACGTCGTCCTCGACAACATTCCATCCCATCATGTATGCGACGACGGCCCAGTAGGCAAGCAGGACGAGGATTCGACCCAAAGGTAAGGGCGTGGCCCATCGCAGGCCGCGGATCGGAATGTAGAACTGCGGGTGACGTATTTCGCGGACAACGGCGGTCGCTGTGGCCCAGAATTGCGACAGTCTGTTTCTAGGTATCGTGGGATACTTGGAAGTTGAAGCATCGAGACAGCATTTTAATCTAGCTGTATGCATTAGCCCTCGGTCCAGTTCCATCCGGACTTTGCCTGGCTGCGCACCTTGACTTGGCCTCGATGTGATTCACAACCCGGACAGCAACGCCCAGGCCAACTACACCGGCGACAATGAACCAGTAATCCTGCGCAAAAGCCTTGTTCGTGGCCGAACCAATGCCCTGAGGCTCGTGGTGGTCGTGGGACATGATGGAGAAGGGTAACCCGTTACTTCTTCTACCCAATCATCACAGTGAGTGTGCGCTCGTCTCGCCAGGAGAGGTCTACCAGAGCATGCTCGCTTGACCTCTTGCCGTCAGAGGAGGCGAATTCAACACAGAGGAGCGGGTGTGGTTGGATGGGAGGAGCAGAGATGCCCCATGTAAGTTGAGTCTGTGTGACGAACGAAGACACAAGCCCCCGCTGGATAACACAAGGATAGATAACATGCTATGCTACCGGGTCACGTTTGAGCGAATTGGCCCGAGAAAAGAGCATCGAATTAATTACATGACGGCAGTGCACCCGTCCATCCACCGGCCTCGACCCTGGCACAAACATTGAGGTTTGAAGCAGCCTTAACGGAGTCTCCCCTCTGCCCCGCTGCATCTTCCCCAGGCTAGATCGCTTTGGTGCGTAGTATCTGGCAAGAATTCCCTAGCGAGCGGGTACTATCAAAACGGTGGGCAGTAAACGAGGCAATGGATTGTTGCAGCGCAGAATAAACTTGCTCAAACACCCTCAAACCCCCGCCATCGGCACTGCTGATTGGCCCGCACTCAACTCAGTCTTGGCGCTGTTCCAGATAGTAGCTTGATCAGAGGGCATCAGACAGGATACCCAGCCAGCTGACTTTATTGATTGGATTAAGTCTCGGCGCGAATATGCTGGGAATGGCGGCCCGGGCAAGCAAGTATCACGATACACACGGATATGCGAGTGTGTCTGCTTCGTTGTGATCCAGAGGTCTAGTCTCACGACGTCGAACCCAGCAGCGACATCCGCCAACAGTCATCTCGATAGAGATAGAGATAGAGTAGAGATATATGGAGCTATACGATCGACATACTAACCCAACTGCCCCGATCTCGCCTCGTCCCACTCGCGGTTCCCCATGATGATACTTACCTGCCGGTATACATGACAAACCGGCTCCTTGTTTGTCCAACAATGGCCATGGCTTCGGGCCGCAAGTGGTAAGGACACTTTCTGGGCACTCGCCTACCCTTGTTCCTGTCCATCTTTTGTATTACCGTCCGTTTCAACCTGTAGCACCTGCTCACCTGCCTCGGCGCCGATCTGCCCGAGTACTTTACCTGCCTCCTCCCACTCGCGCCCTCTCACTTGGCCGAGCTTCATCTGCTTTGCTTTCCCTCGCTCTGCTGTGTATTATAGAGTCAATTGGCGTCAATTGGGAACCTACATCGTCATCTCGTCCCCTCAACGAGCATCACACTCGTCATGCGTGCCACACTCCTCCTCGGCGCCCTGAGTGCCCTGAGCCTCACCAATGCTCACTTCACCATCAAGTCGCCCAAGGGCATTGGCAGCGCCGACTCGACCGCCGACCATGCGCCCTGCGGAGGCTTCACCCCAGATCTGTCTGACGGCTCAAGCCAGCTCGTCGACGTCCATGTGGGCGGCGAAGCCGTCGCTTTGCGCCTCACCCACTCCCGCTGCACCTGGCTGCTGCGCGCCACGCTTGACTCGGCCGCCAAGAATGGCTGGGAGAAGGTGTATCCCATCACTGTCCAGAGCGGCCTCGGAGACTATTGTTTCCCTGCCGTCACCTTCCCCAGCGACTGGGCTGGCAAGAAGGGAGTGATTAGCATCGTCTCGTCGGCTGATGACGGCCAGCTCTTCCAGGTAAGAATCAACCCAGCCCTTTACAATGATATCGGCGGTTGGACATGTGCTCAACTTCGCCTTCCTCCTCACAGTGCATTGCCGCCAACTTCGTATCGGGCACCGCCTCGCCGCCGACGACGTGTACCAATGCCTCCTCAGTCACGTCCTACGGCACGGACGACGCTGAGCTGCAAAAGCTCATCGGCGACCAGGATAGCGCCTCATCCACCGCATCGAGTTCTGCTGCTTCGCCCTCGGCGACCGATTCAAAGGGTGCTGCCGGCGCATTGCTCGTACCCTCGATCCAGAGTGTTGGTACCCTCGTGGCTGGCGTGGGCGCACTTGTTTTAGGAGGTGTTTTAATGATTTAACGATATGGTCAAGGTGTAAGTGGTGCTAGTTAACAGAGTACGATAGAAAAGGGAATTCGAGGACATTGCATAAAATCATACTAGCCATATATAAATTGGTATTCTTTATCTTGCCCATATTTTGTATTGCAAATCGGTTTCCAAGGCCATTTATTTCTCCGTGTGAGCTCATTGATTCATCATCTCGTGCTGTGAAGCAAATGGCTGAGTTTTGACGATGTGGTATAGGGTAGGCTGAAGCTATTGGTGTTAACAGCCAGGCAAAGTAGAGCCCAAAATTCACCCACTGTTAAACAATAACAACAATGACAACAACAAGAACAAGTAGAGCCAAAAGCGCAAGAGGGAAAGGAAGAGGGAAGGAAGAGGGAAATGCTTGTTTTTGCTCGCATACCTTCCATAGAACTCGATCCCAGTTCTTTTTCAGTTGTCAAAACTCAATGATTGTAAGCGAGACTTCTCAAACTATTCACTGTTTCAAGTGACTCAGAGGATTCAAATTCACTTCTCTTACTAGAGAAAAGAGGGTAAATCGAATGGATTAAAACTGATACTTTATGAACATACATACTTCTCTGGGAATATGCGAGAATGGCAGTGTCTTTGTAGTGGCGTCTCCTGCCAACGCCGTATTCACGACTTGGCTTCATGACCCCTTCCATCTACAGGAATTTGCAGCCAGATCTTCCTAGACGATGAACAAAGATGCCGCAGTGTCTGCTCACCATACTTCCTGTTCTGTCACCGCCATTGAGGAGTTTCCAAGCGGCGCATTCCTCCCGGGCCAATTGAAACCACCAATTCAACCATCTCGAGCCAGGGTGGTGCGGGGATCGGCCTTTGTCTCCATCAATTGACCCATTGAAAAGCAACAGGGGCCGGCCGTTGACTGAGACGGCACGGCGGGGGCGAGAGCAATCGCACGGTCGGCGTTGTTCTTGCAACGAAGCCCTCACGACCGGTCCCTCTTGACGTCTCGTCCATGGACCGAGAGTGATGCGTTTCCCGGCCGATGAATGAACCCATATGCCGAGTAATTGAGCCCCCAGTCAGTCAACCAACTTGCTGCACTGATTGAGCGACGGAACGTGCAAGGGCGCGAATCACCCTTGCATAGCTGCCTGTGCCATTGTTCACATCATCCGTTTGCTCCGTGTAGGTGAAAGCCAGCCCTGGCAGCCAGTTTAAAAAACTTTTCTTCGCCCTGTGCAGAGCAGAGTTCACTGGATTCTTCCTTATTCATCTGCTGCTGTTGGTGGCTGGACTCTACTCGCCCACACAAAACTTTCGTCCCAACTCAAAACTGAAAGTGGAGGGCAGTAAAAGCGCATCTAGGCCCGGCTCTTGGATTTGGGTCGAAATGGAGGTCGACGCGTCTCCCTACTCCTGGCCGATGATCCGTCCAAGATCATCCGCCTTCGCTATGGGCGAGCAATACTACAGCATGGAGGACACGCAAACAACTTGGGGCGGCGCTGGGAGCCCCCCTCAGAACCAAGCCTTCTTCGACTCCCGCATCGATGACATCGTCTTTGCTTCCTCTATTTTATCTCTTGTTGTACTCTCATCCCGTCTCTTGAGCGGGAGAATCCAAAAGAGTCTTCCCCAGTGGCTTCGGCCGTTTGCTGCTGAGACGGAAACCCCAAAAGCGAGAGACAAGAGCCGTCCAGTCTGGTGGGCCTTGATTCTTGGCTTCCTCTCGCTCTCCGGCTTCATTCTGGCCATTCTACCCATTATTGTTCTATCACATAGGCTATGGGCCATTTTCGAAGTCGTGCCCTGGCTTGTTGTCACTCTCATCACTGCTCTCGACCGCCCCGTGAAGACTCCGCGGATCCTGTTGGCTCAGTACTTCGTCATGTTTATTGCTTCCCTTGTTATCTGCTCCATACATTTCATCCATAAGAGCCTCCATTCCGTCGACGCTTTCTTTCTCTCGAGGCTCGCAATCTCTTGCTTCGCCCTCGTGGCAATAATCAACATGCCTCTCCGTGATCCACGCTGGGACGCAGCCGATATTGGAAAGGAGCCGTCCCAGGAGACCCGAAGCCCTGAGGACAACACCACCCTTTTCCAGTTCTGGACCATGAATTGGGTATATCCCTTGGCCGGAATCTGCATCAAGAGAGATCTGGCAGTCGAGGACGTCTGGCAGTTGCCCTTCGACTTCCAGCATGGCCACCTCAACACCTACTTTCAAGAACTCAAGGGCCGTCTTATCCCTCGTCTGCTTCGCGCAAACGGCCTCGACTTGATCATTTCCGCATCCCTGGCCGTTGTCGAAAGGGTATCCGAGGTCTCCAACATCCGCCTCACGAGCGAGCTGTACGCCGCTCTAGACGCGCGTGATCCCAACGGTGCCGTCTTCTGGTGTTTCGTCATGCTCTCCGTCGACTGCATACGCCAGGTCGCCAAAACAACTTCGAGCTGGTACTCCCGCAAGGCTTATGAGCGCTCCCGCGGCGAGACCTTCATCGGCCTCTTTTCAAAGCTGCTCACTCGTGCTGTGCCAGGATCAGACACGATGGAACGCGGCCCCGCGGAGGATAATGTTCTGGATGATTTCGAGATCCAACGCCCGCAAGGAAGATTCCGCCGGTTCTTTTCACGAATATTCGGCCGCAAGAGGAAGACATCTAAGAATGCACCACTGATTCAGAGCCAGCCAGCCTCCAATGCCAAGGTTGTCAACTTGGTGCGTGGTGATACGTATGAAATCTCACAGCGGTTTTGGGACTTTCCCCGCCTCATCTCACAGCCAATCAAAGTCATCTTCACCTTGTACTACCTCATTGACATCATGGGGTGGCCCTCGTGCGTCGGCGTAGGACTCATGCTCATCTTCATGTCCATCAACTCCGGTCTCGTCCACAGGTTGATCAAGCTTGAGCGTCTGCGAACCGCCCTTTCGGACAGGCGGGCGCAGGCTGTTGCTCACTTTGTGGAGGCAAGCCGGCCGCTTAAGCTCAATGGGTGGGCGAATACATGGAGCGACCGCATCATGAAATTTCGCGATCTGGAGATGATAAAACGGTTGCACATCTCGTACGTGAATGCTGCCATCTCCACCGTCAACGTGCTTGGCGGCGCAGCCTACCCTCTGGCCAGTATCTGTCTCTATACGCTTGTCCTCCGGAAAGGACTCCCCAATGAAGTCATCTGGCCGTCTTTGCAACTCTTCGGGCAACTGGAGATCAGTGTCAAGGACGCCTTTGACCTCATCTCGGCGTACTGGAAAGCAACCATCCCGGTCGAGCGTGTCAACAAATACATGGAGGAGCCCGACAGGGATGAGGACCACTCAAGCAGTTTGAACGCCCACGATATTGTTTTCTCAAATGCATCCTTCTCCTGGCCTTCAACGAGTCATCTGGTGTTGGAAAACATCAACCTGTCATTTACGCCCGGTTTTACAGTCGTCCGGGGCAGAGTCGGGTCTGGCAAGTCCAGTCTCCTCCTCGCTGCTCTCAACGAGATGGAGCTCCACGAAGGCAATCTCTCAAGGCCAAACGCCCCAATCGGTTACACCCAACAACTTCCATGGCTCCAGAATCAGACCATCCGGGAGAACATCATCTTCCACCAGCCGTATGACCAGAAGCGGTATCACGAGGTACTAGACGTGTGCTGCCTGCTTCAGGATCTGTCTCACATGCAAGACGGTGACCAAACACGACTGGAAGAGGGAGGCATCGGTCTTTCAGGAGGCCAAAGGGCCCGTGTAGCCCTCGCTAGAGTCTTATATAACTCCTGCGGTGTCCTGCTCCTCGATGATCCCCTCGCCGCTCTGGACCATGGAACCGCCAGCCGCATCGTCCAGCGGTTCCTCGAGGGCCCTCTGGCCAAGGGCCGGACCATTGTCATGGTCACGCATCGGGACGATCTCGTCCTCCGCCTCGCCGACCAAGTCGTCGACATGGAGGACGGGCGGGCAAAGATCCTCTCCAAGGAGGAAATCCAAGCGGAGTTGGAGCACCCCATCCATACACCCCTGGATCCCAAGGTTGGTGGTGTTCATCCCTCCGTCCTGCCTGCGGAGCCTTCACAGGCAGCTGGGACCACCAACAAGAATGGGCCAGGGGACGAGATGGAAGCTGGCGGTGTGTCCCTCCGCGTCTACTTCAAGTACGTCAAGGCGGGAGGCCTGCAGCTGTGGGCCATGTTGGCCGTTCTCTACGGCCTGTCCAGGTACCTGGACATCTCCCGCGCTCGGCTGCTCGAGGCTTGGGGTAGTAGCACGGCGAAGACGCCGATAGGCACGACCCCCAATTTCTGGGGACTTCCCAGTCCCGAGGAACATCCCGGCACCTGGCTCTACGTCCTGGGAGGGCTATCGGGAGGACAGATCGTCACATTTGCGCTGGCCCAGGCCATTCTTGCACACATCTGCGTCAACGCCGCGCAGCGGTTGTTTAGAACGGCCGTGGGAAGGGTAAGCAAGGCCACTTTCCGCTATCACGACATCACCCCGACTGGCCAGCTCAAAAACCGCCTCATTTCAGACATGGGCATGGTTGACGGAGGGATTCTCACGCCCCTGGAGTCATTCATCTACAACCTCATCGCCCTCTCCCTGAGCCTTCTAGCCATCATGTCCCACCAGCCTTACCTCCTCATCATCCTCTGCGTCGCCGCCATGCTCTTCGTCTACTTCTTCCGCATCTACGTGCCCATTTCACGCTGTCTCCGCCGCATGGAGATGATGTTCCTCACGCCCATCATCTCCAACATCGGCGTCATGCAGGACGGCCTTGTGACCATCCGAGCCCTGAAAGCCGAATCCCACTTCCAGGACCGCCACCTGAGCGCCGTGGACGACTTCCAGAAGCAGGACCACTTCTTCTGGAGCATGGCCTTCTGGCTCGACTTCCGCCTCAGCATGTCCTCGGCCTGCGTGCGCGCAGCCCTCGTCCTCTTCATGGTCTGGTCCAGAACGCCCGCCAGCGCCATCGGCTTCGTCCTCACCCAGACCACCATCGCCATGATGGCCGTCCAGCAGCTCTGCGAGAAGTTCGCACAACTCCAGCTCGACGCCGTCTCGCTCGAGCGCATCGACATGCTCAACAGGATCCCCGAGGAGCCCAGCGGCGGGGACGAGCCTCCGGAGGACTGGCCCAGGCCCTCCGACGACGTCACGTTCAACGACATGTCCTTCCGATATGCGGACCACCTCCCGTCCGTCCTGCGCAGCGTATCTTTCGAGATCCCAGGAGGGTCGACCTGCGCCGTGCTGGGCCGCACGGGCTCCGGCAAGTCCACAATCGCCAACGCACTCCTTGCGACCGAGCTGCCATGCCACGGCACCGTCAAGATCGGCGCCGTCGACCTGTCCGAGGTGTCGCGAGCCGCTCTCCGCAACCGCGTGACCTTCATCCAGCAGGACCCGATCTTGTTCCCCGGCACGCTGCGCGATAACATCGACCCGGAGGGGAAGTTCTCGACGGAGGAGTGCCAAAACGCCATCCGCCGCGTCCTGGGAGCCGACTGGGGCCTCGAGACGCACATCGACGCGGCGGGGAAGAACCTGAGCCAGGGGCAGCGGCAGCTGGTCAGCATCGGCAGGGCGGTGCTGCGCCGGAGCGGGTTGGTGATCCTGGATGAGGCAACAGCGTCGATCGACCGGAAGACGGCGGCTACGGTGCAGAGAATTCTGAGAGACGATTTATCAGGGAGCACTGTTATCACCATTGCCCACCGACTGGAGGCGGTGGAGGATGCAAACTGGTGTCTGAGACTGGATCATGGGGAGGTGGTTGAGTGTGGTCCGGCGAATGGCTCCGATTTGAGGGGGAAAACTGCGTCAAATACATGAAGTCAAGCATTGTTGGATTTGAAAAATCAAACGAGGTGAAAGATTATCTAAAAGGTCGTTGGATGAGTGCTGAATATTTGATTTGGTTCGGTTACATCTGAGCAGGCATATGTTGGATTGCCTCATATCTCGTTCATTTGATGCAGAATTGCAAGAACAGGCCTTCTTTTTCCAAATATAGATTACTTGGAATAGTACAGGCGCGAAAAAATATACTCGTCGTCACATCTATCACACTCTGGGCCGGGCCATAGTTCCCCTATGAGTCTGGATATCTACCCGATCCCACTGCAGCACGTTCGTGGCAACCTTCATCGTTTCAGATGTTCCAAAAAGGTAAAAGCAAGCGAGGCCGACGGGTCTACACAAAAATTTATGGTCGGAATCAAACGTGATGTAACTGGTACTCTTGGTGATACAGTTGTTTGTTATAGCTGATGCTTCTTTCTCCTGTTGGAGGCACAGTATCAGTTCAGTCATATCACCAGTGAAACACCCGATATGCATAAAGAATGCCGATCGATACCATAGCAGTGACATCCAAACGCAACAAATGGTTGCCCACTCCCTTAGAATCAAGTAAGACAATTAGGGGGTCGTGTTGATGAGTCACGGCGCCAACGTTACTTTTGGCTATTCACTACCACCTACAAACCGTGTGATAGATTGTTTGTCGGTACAGGGCTATAGTGGTTAAATTATATAAGTACAGCCATCAGAGGATTTGAAGAATCGGGCAATGGGTTCAACTGTTCCGTGATGTCCCTTTGTGAAGGCGACAGCGTTTCACCGACGAAGGCTTCAATACCCGAGAGTGAAATAACCCGGCCTGGATCTACCGTGAACTTAATTTGATAGAACCAATTTCAATCCTGAAGGAACTGAAGTTTTCGTAACGAAGCCCCCTCTCCTCTAACAATAAATATTCTCCACGTCACAATCGCCAAAGATTGAGTCCACGGGACTCTCTGCCTGTGGGTGATTAAATCCCGTGAACCACGCCTTCACCAGACCTTCTAGACAATACCCATAGATGATTGCTTTCTGTTGCCTAGTTGCTTCCGCGTATACCATCAACGCGGTGCCTCGCCAGTGTTCCGTACACACACATTTGCACGCGCGTGTTTGTGTGTGTTGTCCTTCCAATCTGTTTTCCGACCTTTATTTCTTGTTCTAGTCTTATTATCACTGCAGAATATCGCAGTGATTGCCCTGTAACTTCTTCAATTGCGATGTTTTGTGACTGATAGGCTTTAGGCAGCAACATGGACTATCCGCCCTTCACGGTCAGCTCTGCAGTCGGTCGACCTATAAAGAGACAATCACACAAATATATAAGTAATCGTCTTGGCCCAGGCAAATATTTAGTCAGTCGCTTGGCCTTTCGTCCTAAGAAACCGGGCACCTCCCATCAAGCAACTTGAAAAATCAGCTCTTCAAACAGGAAACAAGCCAACACCAGAATATCTACGACACTTGCATATTTCACCATCAAGCCGGAGACTAGCGTCAAGTCCCATCCGGTGACCATGTGCCAGCCTGTTGCCTACACATACCCCGCTTGTGGGCACCTTGTTGTGCCCCTTGCACATGTTTGGACCTTGGAACGCTGCATCCGGGCGTGGAATCATGGTAGGGATTGCTGGATTCCTCAGGATTGCCCTCCACATTTCATTCAAAGAAAGCCATGGAAAGGCGCCTCTCTGAATCCCTGCACAGTCTGTGAAGAGATGATACGCCATATGAATGGCGAGACTCTAGCACCACTCAAGACTACTAATTCCAACTTTTCACAAAGGTTACGACGGGACAAGACACGCTGAGGATTCGTTCGGGTAAGTTGCGGTCGCCAAGTCGCTCGAAAGTGTCAAACAGGTCAAATCAAGGTTAAAAACAGGACCAGCCGAAGCCGAACATCACCATAGCAACACCGGTTAGGAAACGGAGAGATATTTCCTCGGCAAATATACTGTCAGATGGGGCCACCAAGTGCCTCGATGAGTGCTTCAATCCTAGGGATGCCATAGGGCTGCCTTCTCGCCCGCGAGATCGAATGCTCTTGATATGCATCTGGAATGCTCAACCGAACACCTTGTCCAGGATCTTCTCGAAGAAGTTGCTTTCTCCAATGTTAGCAAACACGTGCTAAAGGTAGGGGGGTGGAGTGCATACCTGGGCGGAATTGGGACATAGTTCCTCTCATATTCAGCAAGAACATCCTGGTCCCGGTTCAGGTCTATCTCTGATGCCTTGTGGAACTTGGTCTTGTGGATGATCTTCCAGCCGACGAAGAGAACGGGGCACACCATAATCATCATGTACCTAGGTCAAGTCAATATCAAACCTTGCCACCAGATGGCATAAATGAGTAACCAGATTCAAGCGTGAGGACTTACGAGAATAAGAAATCAGTGACCTTCCACATACCCTCAATAGGCAAGAACACCGTGTATCCACCGACGAACATCATCACAAAGGTTCCGACAAGGGCATACCAAGCTGCGTAGGGCTGGAACCACGCCTTGTACGGTAAGGTGTCTCGGCTTACTCCCTGTGCCTTGAGCGCCCTGTAGAAGCAGAGGTAGGCCACACAGGTGACACAGAAGTTCATGAGCTGCGACGCCGTGACCAAAGACACAAACCAGCTCAGCACCACAGCTGAGCTCTCCGACAGCTGCAGGAAGGACAAAAGGCCGATCAGGAGGACGACTACGACACAGTAGATGGGAACACCAGCTTTGGTGCAGGTGGTCAGGAACCTGGGTGCCTTGCCCTCAAGGGCGAGACCATAGAGGGATCTCGAAGCGCAGTAGACGTATGAGTTGCCGGCAGAGCAGGCAGAGGTGAGAACCAAGGCGTTGACGATGTGGGGGAAGACGCTGATGTTGAGCCTCTCCATGGCGATGACGTAAGGGGAGGCGGCAGCACCTGGCTTGCCTTCCTTGAAGGCTGCAATCAGTTCCGGGGAATCATACGGCACGAGAATTCCAACGCAAAGTGCGCCGAGGATGAAGCTTTCACCGACATGTTAGATTGCAATCTTTCACTCATCAACATCCATCAACGGGAACCAGATCTTACAAGATAGTGAGACGATAGAACACGGAGTTGAAGGCACGGGGCATGACCTTTCTCGGGTTCTCGGCTTCACCAGCAGCCATGGAAACGTAATCGGGGCCGGCGATGGTGAAGGAGGCCTGAATAAGGCACTGCAAGAACCCCAGCCACCTTCCCAGAGTCCCTTCATAATACAGCTCGGTAAAAGCACCAGGAGAGTACCAGTAGCGGAAACCGAACCGGTCCTTGTTGGGGTTTCCACCCAGCATGACAATGAAGGTGAACAGGATGAGCGCAACAATGAGGATGACCTTTCCCAGGGCGGCCCAGAACTCGGACTCTCCGTACCATTTCACAGCAAGCACGTTGATGAAGGCGTACAAGACGAGAATGATGGCAACAATAGCACCGACAGGGACAGCGTCACTCCAGAAATTGATGATGAGGTTGCAGGCGACGATCTCGAAGGGGACCATGGCAGCTTCAAAGACGAAAAAGTTCCAGCCGGCGGCGAACCCAAAGGCCTCGTCGACGTACCGGCCAGCAAAGCGGATGAACGGGGAGGAGATGGGTGTGTATGTCACCATTTCAGCCATGCACAGCGTGACGCAGAGAATGAAGGTACACCAAATCGCTAGTCACATGGAGTCAATGTCTATGCGCTCACGTCACGGAGCGGGAGAGGATATCTTGGCAGATGTAGCACGGCGTTATCAGACTTACCAAAAGCCAGCAGGAGAGAGGCAGGGCCGCCATTTAGGAGCCCCTTGCCGATTTGCACCTATTCGCGGTCGAGCTTATGAGCACTTCACGTCCAGAAAAGAGAGGAGAGGAGTGGTGAGAGGGGGCTGGCCGCTCGCACATCATGGCATTCATTCGGCATGCAATTCGGCGAGGTCCATTTTGATTTCTTACATAGAGGGCAGTTCCAATGGTACCACCGATACCAATGAGCTGGATGTGCCGAGACTTGAGCTTGCGGTGGGTATGATCCCTCTTTTCGAAGTCACCATCATCTGAAATATTACCGGCCAGGAAACTCGTCCCTTTTGTATTGGCGGCTTTTTCCTGGTCAGAGTTGTAGGCAGGCGGAGCAGCCTGGCTGGTTGATAGACGGCCCATTTTCAAGTCGGTGCAGACGAGTGAGCAGATGAGACGTCAATGAAGGCGATGTGATGTGCGTGAGGTTGGCCTCAAATACCAGCCTCGAGAGGAATTCAAGGCAGCAACTTGTTGCAGTCAGCGCAGGAACGGGGAAGCGGTTGACAGTGCTCCTAAAGTGAGGGCATTCACAAGGATGGATCTTGAAGGAGGTTCTAGACCTCAACACCACACCAGGTAAACAGCAACTGTGTGAAAATCTTCAAACTCCACAAAGATGAACCAAGAGTAGGCAAGAAACAGGAATGCAGAGTGGAAGGGTACAAGGTATCTTATTTGAGAGAAACCCAAAACGGCCGATAACCGATCTTACCGCCGCACATGGGACTGGCACGGCACAATCGAGAGAGAGGCAATAGCATTACGTTATGGACTTTGTCCAGGAACAAGCTCTCTCTACCAGAGGCAAGCAAGCAATCGAGAGGACCAGGCTGTATGTACGTAGTAGCGAGGACCCATTGGACGATATGGGGCCACAATCTCAACTAGAGACGTCGGTTGCAGCCAGGGCCCCGGTGCAATGGATGGATGGACGCATCCGGCATCCTGCTTTTCCCTCAAACAAAGGCCCAGGCCGAGGCCGAGGCGGAGCTGGCTGGCTGGCGAGAGCCAGATGGAACATGGGCCAGACGAATGCGGTACGATCTGACGGCAGTTTACTACCGCCTCTTGATAGGCAGAGTCTCCCCTCCCGCACCAAAAGCTATGGAGAAGGTGGTCCCCCGTTATGCATATTTGCAAAGAAGCATCATCGAATGGCCGGTGGCTGCTGGCCGCTCCGTTCTTGGTTCGGGTCGAGCAAGGCGGCGGACACCAAACGCCTCATCTTGTCTCGTATCAAAATAATTTCAATTAGTGCCTCGTAACCTCGGTCCTTTGTGTCTACAAAGCCCACAAAATCGAAAATAGATGAAAGTGAGAATCCAGAGAGAAAATCCAAGACACACACGCCATGTCTGGTTTATCCCCACAGGTACTTTTGTCCGCCGAAGGAAGTACCAGGCCGTAAGCGGATGGATCACACAGCATCAGGTACACCAGTACCTGGACCCAAGTACTCCTAGTCCCCACCGTCTGCTGAGGCCTCTTGCTCTGGCTTCTTGTCAGCCATTGGATCCTCCCACAGCGATAAAGAGGCCGGGCAAGGGACCCGGCATACTCCACGCAACTGCACGTCAGCCAGGGAGAGCACGATAAACAGTTAAAAGCAAGGTTATTCTGCCTCTCGGTCCCGTCTCACATGACGCTGGGCACCAGCACAAACTTCCCCAGCTCGGCCGTTCCCTTGAATCGGGACTAGCGCAGCGCACCATCCCAGCGCTAAGGGCATCCCAGGCGGCACCAGCCACTAACGAAGCACTGCTGGGCGTGGAGACCTCCCTGCAAATGGGGTCCTGATGGGGGACTTGGGGGAAGATTCAGAGGCCCCGAGGTGAGGGGAACTGGCCCAGGCGCTATGTGGTGCTAGCACTACTGCCAGAGATGCGCCGCGACTTTCTCTCCGGCTTGGCCACCACTGACAAGCCACGACCCATCCCGCTACAACCCAACGCACATGTGCTTCCATCCTGCTTCCATGTGGTTTCTCCAACGGAGCAGATATATGCAGAACCCTGGGGCTGAGAGGTAGCCCGCCAAGAGACCGCACATGGTCCTCCCAGCCGCATAGCCGGGGTACCAAGAGCAAGACACACAAGACACACAAACAGACGTTATCACCAAGGGCCAACTGATCAGCTCTCTCAATTAATTAGCCTGGTCGCAGGGTCTCGGTGCCCTGTCCAATCACAGGGCTATCAAGTCGAACCACCGCCTCCCAAGTGTTCTACTGTGTATGCAACACACACAGCTCATCGACAGGGTTTAGCCCAACAGGCATGCAGATACCAGACCTGCTTCACGCAATGCGGCCAATCCATCCTCGGGCTATTTTTCTCTAGCCCGCCGCAAAGGTCCTAGTGCTCTCTAGACCCGTGAAATACGGCTGCCTGGACGAGAATCAAAACACCTTCCATTTCCAACCAGCCCAATCTCTATCATCCGTCTTTCTCCCCCACACACAACCGGGGCGTTTGACCTACATGCACACATGCAGAGGGTGTCAGTTTTGTGCTTGTGCTACGTCAATCTTTCGGACTCACCGATGGATGGGAACACCACCCATGTTTATCCAGCCAGCCTCAGCTATCTACTTGGAGACTCAGCATATCATGTTGACGCAGACTACCCGGGCCCTGTCTCAACCTCGCTTACGACGAGAGGCAGGGTGGTAGCGGTTTGACGTTGCATATCACGGGATAGTTACGCGAACTTGAAGCTGGACATTCTGGATTTGTTAGGGGTATTCGTTCTAACACATAATAGGTACAAACAGATGTCTGCTAACATGAGAAATCTTGCATAATCCTCCGTATGTTCTGAGATATCGCAATTAAGCACCCCGCTCTTCGCTTCAGAAAAAAAAAAAAAGGCCAAATCAATCATACCAGTCAGGTGACAAAAGGAAAGAGTGATAAAATAAAAACACATTTGCTCAAAGTGATGGCTGTCAACCCTTCGAGGACCCTCTCCCTATCAGCCAAGGAGAGGGCAGCAGGGCTATTGTCAATAGCCTTCACGTCCTCTGCATTTCTTACCTCCTCTTCCTATAAGTCATGAAAAAGTTATTCATGGCATCGTCTCCGTTATCATCCTAAAAAAAGAACTGAAAAACAAAAAGGAGAAAAGCGCGTCGAGAGGTTTGACTCCCATCACCAGCGCTTCTCTTACAATTCGTCCTTGTCGTGCTGCACCTTGGCTTTGATGGCCTCGGTGGCCTGGCTGGCGACACTGCCAATATTTGACGTGGCAGTAGCGTAGGCAGCTTGAAGCCTAGACAGGACACTTTGCTGGAACTTGTCCTCTTTTCCAACCAGGAGCTCCGATACGATATCCGTAACAGCAGCGTACTGCTTAGATGCCGTAGCAGATGGGTCCTCGGATCCTGCCGTAACTCTTGACACGGCCGAACTGGCCTCGTTAAAGAGACTTTCATACCAGCCAATCTGCTTCTGTTCTCCGTAAACTTGTCCCTCCAGAGTTTGGAGGACCTTGTCCCACGTCTCTGCGAAAGCGGCGCCCGCCAAGTATACCTGCTCGCTCGCCGCGTCAATGGCAGAGTCAATGGAATCGTCGACGGCCTTGATGGCGGACGCAACGTTGTCCGCCGCGGCGGAATAGGCAGAGCCAGCTACATCCTCAGCCGCCTGGATCACGGAAGCGGCTGACTCCGTGGCGATCGAGGCAACCGATGAAAGGGTGCCTGCGAAGTCAGTTGGCGTCGGCGTTGGTGTCGCTGTAAGGGACGACATGGCAGAGGATGCAGCGGAAAGGAAACTTGAATATCGGTCTTGTGCCAGACCAATGCCTGCGTAATAGTTCATCTTGGCCTGGCTATACAACTTCTCCGCGTTTGATGTCGGTGTCGGTGTGGCAAGACCAAGAGCAATGATAGCACTCTGATACTGGATTTCTGCCCACACGCGACCCTCGTTGAGGCGCTGCGCGGCGATGGACTCTACCTTCTTCTGCCAATCAACAATGGATGTTGGCTTTGGTTCCTCGGTAGTGGTCCCTTGAATTCCAGCAGAAGCAGCCGATACTACTGCATCAAATTGAGAGCTGGCTGCTGCAACAGCATTGTCATAGGCTGCGGAGACGGAAGAAAAGAGCTGGTTGTGGACAGGCTTGGGAGTTCCGTAGATTTGAGCCGAGATAACTGATGCAGCCGTAGCGTACTGGTCAGATGCCGCAGATACAGCTTTAGCATAAGCGTCCTCCGCAGCGCTTGTCAAGTCGGCCAATAGATCGCCCTCCTCCTTCTGTTCCTCCTCTTCTTCCTCGTCGGCTCTCTCATCTTCATACTCGTCGGTTTCGTCTGTCTCGTCTGCCTGCTCATAAAGAGCTGCATAAACATCAGGCTCGTCCCACTCATCATCGCCGGAGCCGTACTTATTAGGCTCCCGCATGGGTGCATCAGTCGGCCAGCCCTCCTCATCAGTCTCAGTATCCTCGTAGTCTTCAAGGATGGGCTGGCGGTTACGGACGGCCTGAGCCATTGCTCCAAATATGACTGGCTTAGCTGATGGAGTCTCGTACGCTTTGTGAGAATCTCCTTGTGAGCCAGCATCTTCATCAATGTCTTCAGCACGCTTTGGGGGCTCAGGAGCCTTTGAGTCCTCTGAACCGTCCGAGCCGTCCGAACCGTTCGCGACAATGAGGGTCGTTCCTGATAACAGAATTTCAGAGGCTTCAGATAGAAGGCTGCTCACGGTAGAGGACTCCTCGGCTTCCTTGGTCTCATCAGCAGATTCCGAGACTTCCTGATCTTCGGCTTTCCCAACCTCCTCTTCATCGTTCTCATCCCCAGAAGTGGGGAGAGACGAGTCGGCGCTGTCTTCAGAATTATCTTGAGCACCACTCACAGCTTCATCAAAATCAGCACTGGAAGGTGTCTCCTCGCCAGCCTCAGCGGCACGAGCGGCACGTTCTTCCTCGTCCCTAGCTTCTGCGGCAGCTCGTTCAGCCTGTTTCTTCGCCTCTTCCTCTGCCTCCTCTGCTGCTTTGATTGCTGCCAGCCTAGCCTCCTCTGCAGCGACGGCAGCGGCCTCAACAGCCTCAGCAGCAAGCTTCATTTCCTCCAGACTGAAGTTGTCCGATGAGTCCTGCGCCAAAACCTTCCAATGGGTAACTTCCTTAAGACGCCCCAGTTCTTTGGCAGCATTAGAGGCAATCTCCATGGATTCGTCCTCGACCTGAGCCGAGGCATCTTGAGCCGCCAGGAGGGCAGGGTGGGTAACGATGAGCTGCTTGAGCTGGTCGGTCCACGCGCTGAATGTTGTCTTGAGCTCATGGTACTTTTGCCAGTCTTTGTATGTCACACCATCAGTCCAAGCCCACTTCATGCCAATCTGTTGCAAGGCTAGACCTCTTGTCTCGTCAAGTAATTTGAAGTGAGCATCTGCAGCGTTGACGACGGTGTTCTGCAAGTCAGTGTCGTACTTCTTGCGCCACTCGCGGATTGCTTGCGCCTGTTGCTTGATAGCAACGCCGGCAGTCCGGACTGCTTTGACTGCCTCCTCTTCGGGGTCTTTGAGGCCCGTCGTGCTCTGCTCAACGAGGGCCGAGATCTTTTTCTTGAGAGTCTTGACCTCGGACTCGGCGGTGGCCTCCAGGCGTTCCATCAAACTTGTCCCGGTCTTCTTGACCTCGGCTTCGATCATGTGCTTGGCAATCTCGTCGACACGCTCTTCCATGTCATTGGCACCTTCATCAGCGAGCGTGGCAAACCGGTTCTGCCATTGCTCGAGATCCTGGGCCACCATCTCGCGCGCCTTCTTGCGCTTGTCGTTCTCGTTCTCTCCAGGGGCCGGTGCTTGAACTGGTTGTGCATAGGTTTCCTTGCTCTCAACTCGGGGGGTCTCGGATGCCGACGCTTCAACTGTCGCAACGCTGGTAGACTGGACAGTGGGTTTGCTAAAGGCCGAAGTTGTCGTGGTGCTAAATACATCTCATTGTTAGCTTCGATCGACAAAAATTAGGACCCATTCCTCTATACTGACCTCTCGAGGTCAGGGAGCTCCTCGACCTTGGACTTAACCCGAGTTCCATAGCGTCCGAGGCGCTCCCCAATACGGACAAGCTGGGGCTCAACATTCTCTACGTAAATGACCCGAAGATGCGGCCAGATTGCGGTATCAAGAAAGGAGCTAGTCTTCCCCCAAGCCCAGGAGGCAGTTGGCAGGGCGGTATCAGCCGTGAACTTGGACGCAGTGCGGTATGCATCGACAGCGTATGGTTGGACAAAGGTGTAGCCGGGAAGAAGGTACCCGTAGTAGACTTGATAAGCCTCGGTTTGAGCGGCATCGATGTATGGGCCCAGCACATCATTGGCCTGCGTGATGTATGGGCCAACCTTGTCGTCGTACCTGTCGCGCACAAGTTCTTGGATCTTCTGGAGCTGCACCTGCCCGTTCCTCTCCCACTGGGCCAAGCCAAATTCCTGTGCCTTTTCTACGTATGGGGTTCCATACTGAACAGCATACTTGTGTGCCGGGACGAGAACCTTTTGATTGAGTGTGTCGTAGTAGGGTTGCGCAACATCAACGTAGGGCGCAGCGTACTCGTCGTAGTAAGGCTGGACGTAGGGAGCCACGAAGGTCTTGGTCTTGAAGTAATATTGGCAGATAAACGGGGAGGTATCGTCGCAAGCCTCGAGGGAAGGAGGACAGCGGAAGAGAACGGTGAGAATGCTGAACCACGTCGCGAGCCTGGAGAAAAACAAATGTTAGTCAATCGTGACATTTTCCTCGTAAGCCGGCCAGTAGAAGTAGTAATTTGGCATGACGAACCAGGCAACATGATTGAACAACCACGACAAAAAACCCCGTCGCTTCACGACACCTCGTCTCTTACCAGCAGCCGCCGGTTTGCCCGCGGGCTTGGCCTTGCCGTTGGTGAAGCCGTTGGCAGCTTTGAGCGCTCCATTGGGATCCGCCATGGCGGGCGACTGTCACGCACGTAGCCTGCGTCTGGCTCAGTTGGATGTAAGATGGAGAGGCGGGAAGGCTATCGGCTGCATAGGACCTCGGCGAATGTCGAGCGACGGGATTCACAGCAAAACACTGAAGGGAGTGTTGCTTGACTAGCAAAAGCAGAAGCTCGTGCACGACACAACACGAGACGAGACGAGACGAGAAGCTTGGTCTCAAACGATGCAAATGTGGAGAATGGATTTGGCTTGTCCCATGCGACAGACGCTCATTTGTCAAACTGGCTGCAAGCTGTCAACAATCGATACCTTGTAAAACGCAGGTCATTTAGTGGGTAGCAGCACTGAGGAGCCTGTCAGGCGGCTCCCACGGACTAAAACAGGCATTGGCACTTTGTACTGACCAGGATCACATGAATCAGTGCACGACGGACTGCTTTCAAGATGGATGAGATGGGAGGAATTCAGCCAAGAACCGTGCCAGAGCGACAGGGACAGAGATTGATTTTTACTTCGATCTCAGCTTCACGCTCAGGGGGTCAGATTGGCAGGATCCAAGGCAGGCTGCGGGCTCCCACCACCCATCTGGGTCCGTCTATTACGTCGCCCAAGTAGGTTCTGACGTAGGAAAACCTGAGGATCACAGGCACCGTCACGTCATCACGAGGCAGCACATCCTGCCAGTCACCACCAGACAAGCCTGCTCGAATCTGCACCAGGATGCGCAAGAGTGGAGATGGACCAACGGCACCGAAGCACAAGCTTGATTCCAGATGCAACATGTCTGGCCTTCGCACATGCTATTTTATCGATTTATCTTATTGGTGAGGGGAGGGGCTGATTTGATCAAGCTTGTCGGATCCGAGTCGCCTACTCCAAGTGCGCTGCTACTACCGTGTATCTTCATCAAAGCCTTCTGCCGCTTTCTTCAGCACAGTTTCTTGATATATTTAAGAAAAGAAAGGAAACCCCTTAATGTCTATGTCTACCGGATCTGCCTCTCTCGCCCATCTCTTCCCCAACGGTATGCGCAATGTCGTCAAGTGGCTGTTATCAAAGACTAGTTCCTGCTTGGGGTCATTCTACAGAGAGGACCATCGCCTAAGTATGTACCTAGGCAGCCTCCCACCCGGTAAAAGCAGTGCATCGCATCTCCATCCGTAGCCGCGCAGTGGAGCTTCCTGGATAAAACAGAGCAAGTCATGATGAAGGAGTGTGAGTGGTCGTCTATCTCCAGGAAAAGATTGCCAATGCCTTCCAACTGCCTTACCTACTAGCAGCAAAGCCATGCGAACTAGTGTCCCTACCTTATCTTACTTCATGTTCGTCAGCTAGTTCAACTCGTCGTGCTTGATAGCGGTGGGGAAGATAAAGTCCGAGACCAGCCAAGGTAAAGTTCCAGGACACAGTCGCTCTACGAAATACGGCACCTACTCACTCAGTATTAAGTTCTTTGAGGGTTTCTCGGCATTTCACCTCTGTCACTTTTGATTCATCATGTATCTTCCGACACGAGTACACTCTCAGCTGACTCACATGCCTCGTCGAGACATGTCCACCCTGAAGGTAACTCAACTCAGGTACCCAGACGTGCAAATGCCAACACCAGACTACAACTTACCTGTAGGTAAGGTACCTTACGTAGGTAGGTACATTAGCACCTTAGCATGTAGTGGCACCCTACAGCTGCAGGCATGGTTGATGAGATGCGGCTTTCAATTAAGGACAATGCGGCAAGGAACATGGCAGCAAGCCAGCTTGTCCCAGAATCAAGCATCTTCACTCTCCAACAGATTATAGAGGGAAATACCAGTGTGTTGGTTGGCATGAGCCTGCATCAGACTCCATCACGTAAACCACGCTTTAGCCTCTTTTGGCCGGATTGAGCACTTGGTTGGGGCAAGCACAACGCAAATTCCAAGTTCCACACGCAAGCAGACGCTTACCTTAAGTTAGTACCTACATCCACGGTAATGGTACAAGGGTGCGAGAGCCACCCGACACCCAAATTGTCCATCCAACGTCAACGGCTGGGGAAGTCCCAAGGCAACACTTGTTCCATCAAGCGCCTACTTCGGCCACTTTCCATCCATCGCCATACACGCGTTGTTGTTCTAGAGGCGCCTGTGCTTCCGAATGCTATGCCCACTACCAGGCGCTCTCTCTCTGCTTGCGTGCTTGAAAACCCTTGCCCGGGATCCCGGTCCATTTCTGTTCGTTCTCTCCACGCCGCCTTGACTTGCGGTGGGCATCGTCCATGCCATCCCACCCCTCCATCAAAGACGAAAGACAGCTAACAGCAGCAACAATCTTAGTACCCGGCGCTCTCTGACTACCCACCCTTTCTCGACAAACCACGCCGCCTGTCCCATTCGTCTCCCCCTCCTTGAAAATCGTCCGTCTGCGTGCAACCGCCCTGTGGCGGGCGAGGTCGCCCCGTCGCGAACCCGACCCATTTAGTCTCCGGTCAAGTCAACTACCTGTTACCAGACGCATAAGTTCATCATGGCCGACTGGCAAGGGCCACCTCCCTATGGAGGCCCTCGTGTTTCTCTAAGAAATCCAACCCAAAGACATGTCCGACGACCGACACATGCCGAAGACTCGGCACCGGGCATTTGTCGAATATGTCGTGGTGAAGGGACCCCCGAGGAACCGCTCTTCCATCCATGCAAATGCAGCGGTAGTATCCAGCATGTTCACCAGGACTGTCTGATGGAATGGCTATCGCACTCGCAAAAGAAATACTGCGAGCTGTGCAAGACCTCTTTTCGCTTCACCAAGTTTTATAATCCCAGCATGCCCGCCTCGCTGCCTGTCTCCGTCTTCTTCCAACAACTAATCCGATACGTCATCCAAAACTTCCTAGGATGGTTCCGTGTCATCATAGCCATCAGCTTTTGGGTAAGCTGGCTTCCATGGTTTATGCGACGAGGTTGGGCGTCGCTCTTCTGGATCAGCCAGGAGAGTTGGGGGAGCACCCAGGGTCAATTTTCCGGGTCCTCGGGGGCTATCATCGAGCTTTCGTCAACACTCCTTGGGGTGGATGTATGTCCAGCTAGTCCCTTGTTCGCTCCCACGACGACTTCCGCCGAGTCGGTCAAGACTATGCTGAGCTGGTGGGAGAGCCAGCCCGTGACCATATACCTCATGCGTTTTCTCCTTGGAATCTTTGGCCTGCCTGTTCCCCCTCCCCCGGTACCTCGCTCTGTGGCTTCACAGTACACAACCCAAGAGCCCCAGGTGTCCCAGTCACTACTTGGAAATGTGCACTTTCTACGACGACTTACCCGAAGCACCGCGGTGAACCAGACCGTCATCTCAGTCTTTGAAGGTCAAATAATTACCATTATCGTCATGATCAGTTTTATTCTCGTAATATTAGTGAGAGACTACGTGGTACAGCAGCAGCCTGAATTGAATATGCGAGCCGGATTTGACGAAGTCGAAGAAATTCCCATCAGGGAACCAATTCGGGTAGAACAGGCTCAGCAGGTGGAATCGGAGAATGAATCAGACGAATCAGGCGATGGACGGCCAGCCGATGATACTCCCCATGCGGAGACCATGTATCGCGAGTCCAGCGATTCCGCTCCTCAAATGGGCCGATCTGACGAAGAATATGGCGAGAACGTCTCTGGCTTGAATCCTCTAGTATCGGGGCATGATCATGATCTATTTGCCGACTCTGATAGCAGCTCATATGGCAGACACAATGGCCATCCCCAAATAGACACTCCTGGATCTTCAACCGAAACTTACCCAACACCTGTCAGGGCATTTGCATCCCTCCAACGGCCCAATGGCAATGGGTCCCAAGATGTTGACTTTAATCCCATGGCTAACGATTGGTTCCGTGTTCCACCCGAAGAAAACAGTCCCCCAGTGGAGTCGAGGAAAGGAAAGGAAAGGCTTCACGAATTCGGCCACAGCGATATCCCACCTTTTCTACTATCACAAAGTCCCGAGCCGGATGCTAGCCCTTCTCGCCCTAGAGCTCTTTCAGACGGCCCTCAAATGCAGTCTGGCATCAATCCTCTAGCCAATAACACGTGGTCCCTGGCTCACCTTCCGTCTGATGATGGTGCCAATAGGACATTTGATCCTGGGTTTCGCCCGCCCCCCGTGCAGTCCTCTTCTTCACACCAGTCAGATGCTGGGGCAGAATGGCGCAATTGGCAAGGGACGAGCTTCCAAGAATCAGAGACTGATCGCGGTTACACCAGTATCCGTGATCAACTCGAAGCTGACGAAGAAGTATATCAGCCACCTCTAGAAGGCCGCATTATTCGTATCCCCTCCCCCCCTCCTTCAGAGCCTACCTCCATCACCCACTCGCAGCCTCCATCGTCATCACCCCCGGCATCACCTATACCTGAGGAGTCATCGTTCAGCTTTTATCACTATATCTCCGATGCAGTGTTGGGATTCATGTGGGGCGGGTTGAGCGAGAATGAAGATTCAGACTCCGACTCCGACGACGAGGCAAATCCTACAGACGAGGCCAACGCCGATGCCAATGTAGCTGCTGCTGCTGCCGCCGCCGTCGCGGCTGTTGGGGATGATGACGAGTGGGTAGATGAACCTGTTCGCCATGCACCAGGCAATGGAGCAAACAATGCAGACGCACCAAACGGTAACAGGCCTGGAGAAGCTGTGGCTAACCCTGCGAATCCCGAGGCTGCTGGAGCCGCAGGCATGGAACCCGAGGCTATTGAAGACATGGAGGATTTTGAAGGGATCATGGAGCTGCTCGGCATGCGGGGCCCTATCACCAATCTTTTCCAGAATGTCATATTCTGCGCGGTCCTCGTTCAGGCAGCTCTTTTCTTGTGCGTTTTCACGCCCTTCAATGTCGGACGTATTTCAATCTGGGTTCTTGCAAAGCCTTTACGGCTTATCCGAGTCATATTTGAGTTCTCAAAGTTCATGCAGGATCTGCTCTTTTTCTTTGCCGGGTTCACCTCCTGGGTACTCTTCAACACGGTCGACATGTTTGTTGCTGTGATTGGTGGCGCAGTGAGGACACAGGTTCTCTCTGCTCGCAAAGGATCCTGGAATTTCTTCATGAGCGCTGCTAAACGTATCTTGGATTTCTTTGCCTTTGACTCTCCATCGTCAGGCTCGGGGATGCAGCACTGGTCCGCCATTAGCCACCAAGCCCTCTACTCGATCAAGGAGCAAGTCGCAACATTCTTCCTATCCGCAAGCGATTTCTTCGTCTCCTTGCATGACCCTCGCAACGTTATTCCTGCCATCGCTAGCGTGACCAAGGTTCTCCGGGACAACGTCCCAAGCATACTCTCTATCCTTTTCAACCCAAGCTATTGGGTGATTGAATTGGGTCCAGCCAAGAGCCCTCCTCTCAAACTGGAGCTTGCCAATTGGTCTGCCTCAGATATCACATGGGCCATCCTGGCTGGCTACATCACGATCTTCACACTCGCTGGTTTATACATGAATAGTGAAATTCGCCTAGCTCGTGGCACTCTCTTCGAAGACTGGGAGACTGGCCTAATCAATTCTCTGCAACAAGCAAGCGGAATACTGAAGGTCATCACGGTCATCAGCATCGAGATGCTAGTGTTCCCCTTGTATTGTGGGTTACTCCTTGACCTCGCCGTGCTCCCCCTTTTTGCAAATGCAACCCTCAAGTCTCGTCTGCTCTTTACATACAATAACCCTTGGACTTCGGTATTTGTTCACTGGTTCGTCGGCACCGGATATATGTTTCATTTTGCTCTCTTTGTTTCTATGTGTCGCAAGATCATGCGACCCGGAGTGCTATGTAAGTTTGGTCTCGTTCAATGTTATAAATGACCCAAAATACTAACTTTTTTTCTCTAGATTTTATCCGAGACCCTGATGATCCAGAATTCCACCCTGTGCGGGATGTCCTTGAGCGAAGCCTCATGACCCAGTTGCGGAAGATCTTATTCTCCGCCTTCGTCTACGGGACTCTGGTCATCGTGTGTCTTGGGGGCGTTGTCTGGGGCCTTGGTTGCGGAGCTCCCAATGTTCTCCCTATTCACTACTCATCGAATGAGCCCGTTCTGGAGTTCCCAGTTGACCTTCTTTTTTACAACTTCTTCGTACCGCTAGCATTCAGCATAGTCAAGCCTGGTGATGGTCTACAAGCCATGTACCGCTGGTGCTTCCGCAAAAGCGCACGGGTTCTTCGCCTCACATATTTCCTTTTTGGAGAGCGCCGCGTCGACGAAGAGGGAGTGCTACAGCTCGCTGAGGACTCACCCCACCGCAACATGCCATTTTGGCGAAAAGCGATGCTTGGTCTCGATGCCGATAAAAACAACGTCATCCCCAAACCATGGAATGATGTATTCGACGGCATCGACCACAAGAAGGGCAAATCAACGCCACAAGAAATCCGATATCTGCGCCACAAGAAGGCTCGACTAGTAGACTCAGGTCAGCTCATCAAGGATGGTCGGTTCGTCCGTGCTCCAGCTTCTGATCGAGTGAAAATCCCCAAAGGCAGGAAGGTGTTTCTAAATGTCAATGAACGAGGACGGCGCACAGATGGCAAGCCAGACGAGGGCCTATATGCGACTGACCAGTTCCAGATGGTGTATCTGCCACCCCATCTCCGCACTCGGATCATGCTTTTCATCCTGTGCATCTGGACTTTTGCTGCCGTCACCGGTCTCAGCTTGACCATCATTCCTCTGGTTCTGGGCCGAATGGTATTCAAGATGGCTCTCCCAGAACATGTACGAACGAACGACATCTACGCATTCTGCATTGGTATTCACATTCTTGGTTTTATCACCTACTCCGCCTTCAACCTGCGAGGGATCTACCTCAAAGCCAAGGGTTTTCTACACAACGGCCCTGGCCACAAGGTGGGGAACAGCCTGGCGAATGTCTACCGGCCGCTGCGTCACGCAGCCAAGATGCTTTACGCGTACGCCATGATGTTCATCGTCTTCCCTTTGGTACTGTCAACCATCATAGAACTCTATGTGGCAATGCCAACACATACATACATCAACCCACCGACTGCCGCAGGACTGAAGGGCGGCTCCGAAGCTGGGAGTGGAAACACACAACACAATATAAGGATCGTAGAGTCTTGGACGCTCGGCCTACTATATATGCGCCTCGCGGTGCAGCTCATTCAGAAATTTATGCCCAACAATCGGTTTACCTTGGCAATGCGTGCGGTGCTTCGCCGAGGCTGGCTGGACCCAAATGTTCGTATTTTGACCCGAGCGTTTGTTGTTCCCGGCTTCTTCATATTTGGCCTGGCCATTTTTGCGCCGCCGGCCGTTGTGCTCTGGACAGAATGGTTGGAGGGCTTGAAGCCCGAAGATCTCCAAGGAGAAGCAGTGGCGCAAAGAGTTGTGAAATTCCGTCAATCGTACCCCGTCGTGGCCTTTGGCGGCGTCTTGGTCAGATACTTCATCATGGCGAGACATGGATTCAACACGCTCAAGGTTAAAATCCGTGATGACGCATATCTTATGGGCGAGAGACTACAGAACTACGATGGGTCTCCGCTCGAGGTTAAGCCAGCCAGGGTGCACTCGGCTAGGGCTGTATAAAATCGAAATTGAGCATTGGAAGAAACTGGAATCGTTGACGAGATGACGCGCTACGACGCTTGGACAACACTACCTACCTTACACAGTAGACTTACTATTAGCGGACAAGCCCAACCCGACTCCCAAGCGATTTTTATTATTGATGGGTCATGGCTCGGGAGTGGATGATTTATTATGAGCTGGTTGGGCGTCAACTGAATGAAATTCTGTACATATTGCCGCCTTTCGCATAAGGCGCAGGCCGCATCGCTCTCCGTATCTAGGAGATGACTTGCGGCAGTAAACACAGCGTTGTAACTAATTCCCAAGAAAGAGCAAGAGTCGCATTCCAATAGGTAATGTGCATGAATATTAATAAACATCTATGCCGGCCATGTGTGCGTGCTGAGCACCAGGGCAGTCTTCCCAAATGTGCAGGTAGGCAGGCATCCGAGCCCAACCAGCCAATACAACAAGGATGGATGGACAAATGCGGGAAATGGGTGGACGGGAGCCATGACGAAATGTGGGCACACGTGACTTGTCAGCTGTTGGCTCCCGTTGTCCAGGACAGTGACGGGGCTAAACCCAGAGAGGAATGGTCGTTGCTGTCGGCGTCAGGAGGAAGGAAGTGTGTTCCAGTGTTATTGCAGTGGTTGCGGGAGGGCCAGGGCCAGCCAAGGGGGTGCTCACACGGCATAACTCTGGCAAGACAGGAGCAGCAGGGGGGGCAGGCCCACTCCACAGAGCGGGTGGGTAGGTGGTCGCATCAACAACACTGACCCAGAAGTCACAAGCCAAAACATCAATGTAACAAACGACGACAGCCTCGACGACGAGCACTGCCAGCGACAGCCTCTGGCTTTGCGGCTTCGCAATCACGGTACGACGACAACCAGGTAAGTCCAGCTGCTTCTACGACTAGCAGCCCGTGATATCGACCAGCGCCAACCCCGAATTCACTAACCCCCAGCGCCCATCCTCCCGAGAAAGTGAGTAGATTCCCCCCCAAGCGCAGTCCCGAATGCCACCAGCGGCGATGGCTCAACCACTCGTCGCATCAGTCCAAGAAGCGATGATCGCTAACAGGAGGGACTGCAGAGGGCCAGACACGACCAGCTTGCTTCTTGTGATATACTTTCTTCTCTCCTCCCATTTGTTATCCGCATTCATTCCAGACACCGTTATCGCTACGACTTTCATTTGTTATTCCAACATATTGCATGGCGCCTCACCACACGATACGATCCTGAACCGATTAATCACGAGTACATCGGCAGCCTCGCGTCTTTGAGTGCCGTACCTTGAACTTACTTAAGATCAAGAAACCAGAAAACTATACAAAAACAACAAACTCCAAGGCCAGGCAACACTAGTACACCGCCCAACATGAATGAGCCACCATCCTCGCCACCAAGCGAGGCAGCCAGCGCCGAGGACGCCCTCTCCTGGTACAAGTCGCAGTACGTTCAGCTTGAAGCAGATCTCGCCGAATTTCGAGAGTCTAGTCGCGAACTTGAACAAGAGCTTGAGAAGGACATTGAGCGTGCAGAGAAGCAGGAGCGGGTGCTGCAGGAGAAGGCAGAGACGCTGGGTTTCGAAGTAGAGGAGTGGAAGGTGCGCGCATATCCTCACATGGCATCCATTGCATATTCTCGTTTCGGGACGAAACTAACATGTTACTCTTCTTCCAGCGCAAGTACAAGGAATCCAAGCAGGAGGCGGGATCAGCCCAGGCCGCGTTGGAGAAGGAAATCACCACTCTACGGGATTCCAACCGGACCTTCCAGCTGAAGATTAGGGACATCGAAGTCGCCAACGATGATTTCGAGCGACAGGCCCGCAACACCACCTCTTCTCTGGAGGACATGGAGTCCAAGTACAACCAGGCTATCGAGCGCGGCGTCATGATGGAGGAAGAGATCAAGCAGGGAGAGCAGGAGCGTGAGAATCTTCGAATCGAGTCCCAGCGCCTCCGGGAGGAACTCTCGGATCTCAAGATCGAGGCTGAGCTGCTCCAAGACAAGATCAAGAAGCAAGAATCCCGTCACCTCTCCACCATCTCCACCGATCTGTCAGTTCTTAGTTCTCCAACCTTTGACAAGAATGGCGGGGGCTCTCCACAGTCAACTGCAAGCTCTCCTCTGGTGACAACGCCACCAGACAGCAAGCCAAATTCCACGGCCGATGCCGACGGCGAAGATCACGAGCCTCCATCACCACCGATGTCCGATGTGTCGCTGTCACTGCCAAGGCGCGCAGATGCATCATCTCACCGACCCACTGCCTCGATATCAAGCGTGGCTCGCAAAACTCGCCTGCCTTCTACTTCCGACAGTACGCCCAAGCCCAGACCATCAATGACGAATATGCGACCTCCCGGTGGCCGACTCTCTGGTGGCGGCGGTGTTCCCCTGCGAACACCAGCCAACAGGTCTACTAAGCCACGGACCGGACACAAGCTCCCTGCCTCGAATTCTCTTACTCATATTCGCGTTCTCACTGCCCAGATGCAACGCCTCGAAGCTAGGGTGCATTCAGTGCGGTCTAGGTTGCCAGCACCAACCTACACCCCTCCCCGCGCTTCTCCCCGTGGTTCGGCCGCTAATGTCCCATCGACCGTTACCATGAGGAGTCGAAAGCGCACTACTGGATCTACAGCCTCATCTGTGGCTGGAGACGATACCACTCCTACCAATCTCCGCTCCTCCACCTCCTCCAAGCCCAGCCATGTACCCCGACTTAGTACGTCGGGTGTCAGCCGCCTCTCATATGGTCCTCTCCCCAACCGAGCACCGGACCACGATGCCAGTCGCCCAAGCTCACGAGCTAGCGTCTCGTCGATCGCCAGACCCGTCTCTCGCACTGAGATGAATGCGCCGCCCCGCCCAATGTCCAGGACGTCCATGGCCGGAGCTCGTACCCCTCTTGGGCGGCCCCGATCCTCTCTCGGCGGATCTTACCATGGGCATTCTGCAAGTGTTGGTTATGCAGACCTCGAGGAGGAGGAGGAGGATGACGAACTCCGAACCCCCAGTCGCCGAGGCATCTATTCGAAGTTTGACCCGGACAGCAGTACCAGCAGCATCCCAGGCCCCAGCGGTAGTGGAATTCCCATGCCCAGCGGCCGGCGCCAAAGCGGTGCCAGTAGAAGAGCAAGCAACAGCGCGCTGAGGGATTCAATCTCTCGGCCAAGATCGACGGTTGGGCATAAGCTGCAGGACCTCGGGGAGACCTACTAAGGATATCTCTCCCACTAGACTTGAACATGATACCCCACTCCTCAGCTTCAGTTCTTCTTTGAGATTTTGATTCCTCGGGCGGTTATTTTTCTGGCTTCTGGCGCAGCATGATCTATCGGATGGTTTTTAGCATGGGCAGCGAAAGAATGGCGAAGCGGTTGAATTTTTTTTGTTGGCCTTTGTTGCCTTTTGGGTGATTACGGGATATGGCGCGATTTCGATCATGATTCCCAGGCGCTTGGGTTTCCTATCTTGCGCGTGGAGGTTTATGAGGATACGGCATACTTCTCTTTTCTACTTTGTGACCCTCGTCCTCTTAATAGATGCTCTATAATACATGAGCAAGGGGGTGAGGCCCTGTGTGGACTACCCTATGCAGGTATCGAAGCCAGGCGAGGCGAGATGAGTCTACTGGATGATATCAGTCGTGCAAGAATGCACATCATCAATCCGGATCCTGGGCAAGGATATAAAAACCCGGGATCCGATTATCTTAGCACATAACTTATTTTCATTTGTCTTTTTGGATGGAGGAGGATGGGGTGAATATCCTCAAAATATACAACATAAAATGATACTCTTAAATTGATTCCCTTGATCGTTGTCTCTACTATTCATTGACATGCGATTCCACATGCTCTCTTATGATGATGTAAAGGGGGAAAAACAAATGGATGAACTAACGCTTTACTCTACTCCCTTTATCATTTCAAAAGACAATAATTTCAATTCCTCTCCATTCCTACTGAGGACACATAAAAATTCCAGACAGTTCATCGTTTTTGAAATATCGCATTTGCCACAACGTCCCTGATGCCGCCGTAGGGTAGGAAGTAGCAGCATCTCATCTCAATCTCCAGCAGATGATCGACAAAAGGCCAACAAGACCGTCGTCCCCTTAACCCGTCTGGGCTAGCTGGCCACCGCCTAGCAAGTGTTAATTTTTTTTCTTTTGGATTTTTCGGTTTTGTTTAGCGTTGAGGAATATGCACGCCCCCCAGGTGGCCAACTACGTTAGTGCGGGGGCCTTCGGGTAACCCTTTTCTCAACAATTGGGGGAAGAGCAGCGAGCAAAAATGGGTGCCTTGAGATGAAAGCGTACGCCCGCCGCCCGGGAGCAGCGTCGTCGGGCAGGGAGGTTCGGTAGCTGCTGACATGGGTCTGGGGGTAGGGCAGTCTTCTTCTTTTTTCTCTGGTTTTCTTTTGGTTGCCCCCCCCCTGTCTGATTGTTGATTTACGTTTTGGGCAAGTTGCTCGTGCATGCTCCGTGGGTGCTTGGGGGGTCAGATCTCACATGTTACGTAGATCTACACATGCTGGACTCGACCGAGAGGTGTTGTTTATCGTCGCCATGAGTGTCTCACCGGCTCGTGGACCGGCTTTCACTCGTGCGTTTTTAATTTGATGCTCGTGGTTGGCGAGGTAATGGGCCGTGGCCATTGACGGGAAGCTTCGGTGATCGTTGATCAAGGACCCGGAAAGGGGGGTGGGTCTAGGACGGCAATGTTGGGGTTCCATTACCTAGGCCACGAGGGGGATTGGCGGAGCTAAAGGGTCTTGGGGATTTTTTTTTCTGGCTGGGCCCGAATGTTCACACCCACCTCATGAATGGCGATGGCCTCCCCTTCGAGTTTCATTGCTATCTTGCTCTGTCTCTGTCTCTGTCTCGCCGGTTTCAGACCTCCATTGATAGGAGGCCGTTGATTGAAACTGGCCGAGGTATTGCATTCCTGCGATGTAGGCCGATAAGAGATAACACAAGGCACGTCGATGGTTGATGATTGGCACTAGTAGACGTCAGAGGCCGCTCGGGCGGTTTTTGATTGGTCGGGGAAGCGGATGGATGGGGCAGGGCGCTCCCAAGAGTTTGTCTGGGAAGCAAGCCACTTGCGCTGGGCTTCCATCGATGGGACTGTTGCTGTTGAGAGGAGAGGCCATGGCTGGGCTGCCTACTGTATCCGCGCGGATCCGGATGAAGTATCCCATGGCTGTTGAGTCTGTTAGCAGCAGGAAACATGGCCGTGAGGACGGCGAGTCATGTCATGAGAGATTGTCTGTACTCTGTAGAGCATTGGAAGTTCTGATTCCTCACGTCAGCATTTCCATGTCCGTGCCGTAGCCACGCACTTACACGATGCATACGGACTTATCAGTAGGTAGTAGGTGCATCGATATAGTAGAGATAGGGCCGGTTCGCTCTGGTATGTGTGGGAGGTTTATGAGGCTGTGTGTGAGATCTGATGATCTACAAACCCTGCCATTCGCATGTCGGGCCTTCATCTTCATGAGGGTGCTTCGTACTACATACGTAACCAAGGTAGCTTAGGAGGGGTTAAATTACTAGTTGGACGGGCAATTTGCCTGGGCGGGGGCTTTCGATGAAGCCCAATTTGGAACATCGCAGCAAGGTCCGCAAGCGTACGCAGCGTTTGACTGGCCGTTTGACCAGAGGCATGGCATGGCGCATTGAGACGCGGGATGTTGCAATGACAGGCAGCTGTGCTTATCTCAAGTCGCTCAACGATTGCATCGCTGTAGAACCGGACAGGGAAGCGGCAGGGTGGATCAGTTGCATCCCGTCGTCCATGTTGGGGTGCGTGGGCGTCTGTGCTTTCGGGCTCCGAATACCAATTATTGCGCGGGTTTCGGGACCCAGGGCCTTGCATGGATCATGAACCTCCCATATGGAAACACTGTAGAGGGAGCTGGGCGGGATCGATGTTGGAGGGGGCGAGGCAAGACAGTGTAGATAGCCTCGTTGCTAAGGTAGGGATGGGGCCCTATTACGCCGAGTCTGATAGAGGTGGTAGCTCTGTGATGGTAGATGGGTACATCGGGTCAACAGCTCCCAGCTTCCGGAGCTGCGGTGGTGAGCCCCTCCCTCCCCTAGAGCTACAGAGCTTGGAGGGAGTTTCTCCTACCTCCCCTCCCTTAGATACTGTATGTACCCACCACACCCATCACCCCTGACCCGCTCCCCGATCGAATGGGTGTCCAGTACGGTTGCCCGCTAACGCGCCAAACTCCCAACAAACAGATTCTGTAGGTTACAGCCCGGCCAAAAGGTATCCTAAAGTCTGGGACCGAGCCCAAGGTGTCATATCTTCTCCCCTTCCACCCTCGAGTTCTTCTCAATTCTCTTCTTCATCTCTCTGTATACCCGGGACTGCCCACCCTTCGCAGCTTGGTCTTGTAATCTATCTCGCAAGACCTCCGTGTAATCAATTCCTACCTTATCCTCCTTGCTTTTCAGCGGTAACCAGCGACTTGCGCTTTCTGATCTCACCCAAGAGGGATTGCTGCCTCCTCCTCCTCCCTGCAGCCCTCAGACAGGTTTTTAGATGACGAACTAAAGACCTGTACTCCATTGACGACGACGATACTCGCCATCACCTAATCTACATCCTACTCCTCCGATCCTCACATACCAGAAGCGACGCTACCATGCCGGAAACCACCAACGGCCGGCCACAGGCCAACGGCAAGGTCTCATATGCCGAGAAGTACAATATTGCGGACCACTTCATTGGAGGCAACCGCTTGGAGAATGCGCCTGCGAGCAAGGTCAAGGACTTTGTCGCCCAGAACGGAGGTCACACCGTCATCACAAACGTGAGTTTTGCTGCCACAGTATCTGCTCTGGCGATGTGCTGGGCTGGAGCGCATTCGACGACCGATCCCTATGCCTGGTCTGGTGCTTTGTCGCCGGCAATGGCAATGGGCAGTCTGCGAATCACCCCACCATCGTGAGGCAGGAATTGCAATTGCCAGACACTGACATTCTGGGACACCCCACCCTGCAGGTTTTGATTGCCAACAACGGTATTGCAGCCGTCAAGGAAATTCGCTCCGTGCGAAAATGGGCCTACGAAACGTTCGGCGACGAGAGGGCTATTCATTTCACTGTCATGGCCACCCCGGATGATCTGGAGGCCAACGCCGACTACATTCGCATGGCAGATCACTACGTGGAGGTTCCCGGAGGCACAAACAACCACAACTATGCCAACGTGGAATTGATTGTGGACATTGCCGAGCGCATGAACGTCCACGCCGTGTGGGCTGGATGGTGAGTTTGCGAACCCCTACGTCGGAGATGAAATACTCCGTGATCAGTTGATTGTGCATGTATCCAAGTGGACAAGGGACGCAGCGCTGACAGGTAGCTGAAAACAGGGGTCACGCCTCCGAAAACCCGAAGCTGCCCGAGTCGCTGGCAGCATCACCCAAGAAGATTGTCTTCATCGGACCTCCGGGATCGGCTATGCGATCGCTCGGTGACAAAATCTCCTCCACAATTGTCGCCCAGCACGCAGATGTGCCTTGTATCCCCTGGTCGGGAACTGGTGTCGACGATGTCGAGGTTGACGATAACGGCATTGTCACAGTTCCCGATGATGTGTATTCGAAAGGTTGCGTACAGTCGTGGGAGGAGGGTCTTGTCAAGGCCAAGGAGATTGGCTTCCCTATCATGATCAAGGCCTCAGAAGGTGGTGGTGGTAAGGGTATCCGAAAGGCCCTGGGCGAGGAGGGCTTCGAGGCGCTGTACAAGGCTGCCGCGAGCGAGATTCCCGGATCCCCCATCTTCATTATGAAGCTGGCTGGCAATGCCAGGCATTTGGAGGTCCAACTTCTGGCTGATCAGTACGGACACAACATTTCTCTCTTCGGCAGAGATTGTTCCGTTCAGAGACGTCACCAGAAGATTATCGAAGAAGCACCCGTCACAATTGCCAAGGCCGACACATTCAAGGCCATGGAGGATGCGGCCGTCCGTCTGGGTAAACTGGTCGGTTACGTTTCCGCCGGTACTGTCGAGTACTTGTACTCGCACGCCGACGACAAGTTCTATTTCCTCGAGCTCAACCCTCGTCTGCAGGTCGAGCATCCCACCACTGAAATGGTGAGCGGTGTAAATCTGCCCGCAGCTCAGCTCCAGATTGCCATGGGTCTCCCTTTGCATCGAATCCGTGATATCAGACTCCTCTACGGCGTCGACCCCAAAACCTCGGGCGAAATCGATTTCGAGTTCAAGAACGAGGGTACCTCACTCACACAGCGCCGCCCCACCCCCAAGGGCCACACAACCGCCTGCCGTATCACCTCGGAGGATCCTGGTGAGGGTTTCAAGCCTTCCAACGGTGTGATGCACGAGCTCAACTTCAGGAGTAGTTCCAACGTTTGGGGTTACTTCTCCGTTGGTACTCAGGGTGGAATCCACAGTTACTCAGACAGTCAGTTTGGTCACATCTTCGCCTACGGTGAGAACCGTGCTGCTTCGCGAAAGCACATGGTTGTCGCTCTCAAGGAATTGAGCATTCGTGGTGATTTCAAGACCACCGTCGAATATCTCATCAAGCTTCTTGAGACCGAGGATTTCGAGGAGAATACCATCTCCACAGGCTGGCTGGATGAGCTCATTTCCAAGCGTCTCACTGCCGAGCGCCCTGACAGCATGCTCGCTGTTGTTTGCGGTGCCATCACCAAGGCCCACATTGAGAGCGAGGAGTGCATGTCCCTCTACCGCGCCGGTCTTGAGAAGGGCCAGGTTCCTCCCACTCAGATGCTCAAGACGACTTTCAACATTGATTTCATCTACGACGGGTACAGGTACAAGTTCACTGCTACGCGCTCTAGTACTGATGCCTATCACCTGTTCATCAATGGATCCAAGTGCACCGTTGGTGTCCGTGCCCTGAGAGATGGTGGTCTCCTCATCCTTCTCGACGGCCACAGTCACAACGTCTACTGGAAGGAGGAAGTCGGTGCCACCCGTCTCTCCGTCGATTCCAAGACCTGCCTGCTGGAGCAGGAGAACGACCCCACCCAGCTGCGAACTCCTAGCCCTGGCAAGCTCGTCAAGTACTCTGTTGAGAACGGCGCTCATATCAAGGCTGGCCAGACCTACGCGGAAGTTGAGGTCATGAAGATGCACATGCCTCTGGTCGCCCAGGAGGACGGTATTGTGCAGCTCATCAAGCAGCCCGGAACTGGTCTTGAGGCTGGTGATATTCTGGGTATACTCGCCCTGGATGACCCTAGCCGTGTTAAGCAGGCCCAGCCCTTCGTTGGCAAGCTCCCCGAGTATGGCGACCCGGTTGTCGTTGGTACCAAGTCTGCCCAGCGCTTCACCCTTCTTCACAACATTCTTGTCAATATTCTTCAGGGTTTCGATAACTCTGTTATCATGGCAGTCACACTCAAGGAGCTCATCGAAGTCCTCCGCAACCCTGACCTTCCCTACAGCGAGTGGAATGCTCAGTTCTCTGCTCTCCACTCCCGCATGCCCCAGAAGCTTGATGCCGCCTTTAGCCACATCATCGAGAGAGCCAAGGCCCGTCACACCGAGTTTCCTTCCAAGGCCTTGAGCAAGACTTTCGCCAAGTTCCTCGAGGACAGCGTTGCTCCTGCCGATGTTGACACTCTCAAGACTACTCTTGAGCCTCTCACCAACATCACCAACCAGTATGCGGATGGCCAGAAGGCCCGAGAGCTCAGTGTTATCCAGAACCTTCTTGAGCAGTACTGGGATGTCGAGAAGCTGTTCATGGACCAGCGCCAGGACGAGACTGTTATCCTGAAACTGCGTGATCAGCACAAGGAGGAGATGGCCAAAGTTGTCCAGACCGTGCTCTCACACAGCCGTGTCAGCGCCAAGAGCTCACTTCTCCTGGCTATTCTGGAAGAGTATCGCCCCAACAAGCCCAACGTCGGCAACATCGCCAAGTACTTGCGCGAGACCCTCCGCAAGCTGACCGAGCTCCAGTCATCTCGACCTACCTCCAAGGTGTCGCTTAAGGCCCGTGAGATCATGATCCAGTGCGCCCTGCCTTCCATGGAAGAGAGAACCTCCCAGATGGAGCACATTCTCCGATCCTCAGTTGTCGATTCTACCTATGGTGAGACGGGATGGGAGCACCGAGAGCCCAACCTGGACGTGATCAAGGAGGTTGTTGACTCCAAGTATACCGTTGTGGATGTCTTGACCCTGTTCTTCGCACACGAGGACCCCTATGTCGCGATTGCGGCTCTCGAGGTCTATGTTCGCCGCGCCTACCGAGCGTACGTCCTGAAGAAGATTGAGTATCACGCTGACGAGATTGATGCTCCTCAGTATCTCTCCTGGGACTTCAACCTGCGCAAGATTGGCCAGTCCGAGTTCGGGCTTCCTCTGCTGTCAACTGGCCCTTCAGGTCCCCCAACACCCGGCGATGCCGACCCTCTCCGCCTGGAGGCTATTGGACGTATTCGATCAGTTAGTGACATGTCTTACATGACTGCCAAGATAACTGAGGAGCCCAACCGCAAGGGTGTTATCATCCCCTGCAAGTATCTCGAGGATGCTGAAGAGCTTCTGCCCAAGGCCTTGGAGACTCTGGGCTACGCCCAGAAGCAGGCCAAGTCAACCAACCGCGGCCTTGTTAGTGAGCTCGCTCGCCAGCGAAATCCCTCTGTCGCTGGCAGCCTCAAGGTTCACACTGGAGAGCTCTCAGCTGTTGTCAACGTTGCAGTCAGAGATGCTGAGGCTACCAATGATCAGGAGACCCTTGACCGCCTCAACTCCCTGATTGCTCCGTTCAAGGAAGATTTGCTATCTCGTGGCGTTCGCCGCTTGACCTTCATCTGTGGAAATAGCGACGGATCTTACCCTCGCTACTACACATTCCGTGGTCCCGAGTACAATGAGGATGACAGTATTCGTCACATGGAGCCTGCCCTGGCCTTCCAGCTGGAACTGGCCCGCCTTGCCAAGTTCAATATCAAGCCTGTATTCACGGAAAACAAAAACATCCACGTTTACGAGGCCCTTGGCAAGACTGTCGACACCGACAAGCGATACTTCACACGTGCCGTCATTCGCCCTGGCCGTCTCCGTGATGAGATCCCTACCGCCGAGTACCTGATATCCGAGGCCGATCGTGTTGTCAACGATATTTTCGATGCTCTGGAGATCACTGGCAACAACGGTTCCGATCTGAACCACATCTTCATGAACTTCACCCCTGTCTTCCAGCTTCACCCTCGCGATGTTGAGCAGAGTCTGCAGGGCTTCTTGGACCGCTTCGGAATCCGTGCTTGGAGACTGCGTGTGGCTCAGGTCGAAATCCGCATTATCTGCACTGACCCCCAGACCGGCACTCCTTACCCTCTCCGTGTTATCATTACCAACACCTCTGGTTTCATTGTTGATGTCGACTTGTATGCCGAGCGCAAGTCGGAGAAGGGCGAGTGGGTTTTCCAGAGCATTGGCGGTACCAAGGACAAGGGTCCTATGCACCTGATGGCTGTTTCCACCCCATACGCCACCAAGAACTGGCTGCAGCCCAAGCGATACAAGGCCCATCTTATGGGAACCCAGTACGTTTACGATTTCCCCGAGCTCTTCCGTCAAGCTATCCAGAACTCTTGGGCCAAGGCCGTCGAGAAGCAGCCTTCCCTGGGTCCCCAGCAGCCCAAGACTGGTGAGTGCCTCGCCTTCACCGAGCTTGTCCTCGATGACAAGGACAACTTGGAAGAGGTCAACCGTGAACCTGGAACCAACTCTTGCGGTATGGTCGGTTGGATTTTCCGTGCTCGTACCCCTGAGTACCCTGGCGGACGTCGCTTCATTGTCGTTGCCAACGACATTACCTACAAGATTGGTTCTTTCGGTCCTAAGGAGGATAACTTCTTCCACAAGTGCACCGAACTCGCTCGCAAGCTTGGTATCCCTCGCATTTACCTCTCCGCCAACTCTGGTGCCCGCCTGGGCTTGGCTGAAGAGTTGATGCCTCACTTCAAGGTTGCATGGAACGATGCCGCCAAGCCAGATGCTGGTTTCCGTTACCTGTATCTGGATGAGGAGACAAAGACTCGGTTCGAGCATTCCGTTATTACCGAGGAGGTTTCCGAGGGGGGTGAGAAGCGATTCAAGATTGTCACTGTTGTTGGAAAGGAGGATGGCCTGGGTGTCGAGTGCTTGCGAGGCTCTGGTCTGATCGCCGGTGCTACCAGCCGAGCGTACAACGACATCTTCACCGTCACCCTCGTCACTTGCCGTTCAGTTGGTACGTTGAAATCTGCAGTGGAGACTGCGCTACATCTTTCTTTATACGTTTGCATGCTAACTCTAATTCATAGGTATTGGTGCCTACCTTGTTCGTCTCGGCCAGCGTGTCGTCCAGATCGAGGGCCAACCCATTATCCTGACAGGTGCCCCTGCCCTGAACAACCTGCTCGGTCGTGAAGTCTACACTTCCAACCTGCAGCTTGGTGGCACCCAGATCATGTACCGCAACGGTGTCTCTCACATGACTGCAAACGACGATTTCGCTGGTGTATCCAAGATTGTTGAGTGGATGTCGTTCGTACCTGACAAGCGCAACAACCCCGTTGCCCTGAGCCCCGTCATTGATGAGTGGGATCGTGATGTCATCTACACCCCTCCCCAGAAGCAGCCGTATGATGTTCGCTGGTTGATTAGTGGTAAGACTGAGGATGATGGAAGCTTCCAGAGCGGTCTCTTCGACAAGGACTCCTTCGTCGAGGCTCTTGGCGGCTGGGCTCGTACCGTTGTGGTTGGTCGTGCTCGTCTCGGTGGTATCCCCCTGGGTGTCATTGCTGTCGAGACTCGCACGGTCGAGAACATCACCCCTGCCGACCCTGCCAACCCTGACTCTATCGAGCAGGTCGGCCAGGAGGCTGGTGGTGTCTGGTACCCCAACTCTGCCTTCAAGACTGCTCAGGCTATCAACGACTTCAACAATGGTGAGCAGCTGCCTTTGATGATCCTTGCCAACTGGCGTGGTTTCTCTGGCGGTCAGCGCGACATGTACAACGAGGTTCTCAAGTACGGTTCGTTTATTGTCGACGCCCTCGTCAAGTATGAACAGCCCATCTTCATCTACATTCCTCCCTTCGGTGAGCTGCGTGGTGGATCATGGGTCGTCGTCGATCCCACCATCTCCCCAGACACCATGGAGATGTATGCTGATGAGGAGGCTCGTGGTGGTGTCCTGGAGCCTGAGGGCATCATCGGCATCAAGTACCGCAAGGACAAGCAGCTGGCAACCATTGCCCGCCTGGATGAGACCTACGCCAGCCTCAAGAAGCAGCTCGAGAACAAGAATCTCACCGCCGAAAAGTCTGAAGAGATTAAGAAGCAGATGACTGAGCGTGAGAAGCAGCTGCTGCCCATCTACGCCCAGATTGCTGCCCAGTACGCTGACCTCCACGACCGTGCTGGACGTATGAAGGCCAAGGGTGTCATTCGTGAGCAGCTTGAGTGGATCAACGCCCGCCGCTTCTTCTACTGGCGTCTGCGCCGAAGACTCAACGAGGAGTTCGTCCTCAGGAAGATGTCCACCAGCGCCCTGGCTCCTGTCGCCAACCAGAGCACTGCTCAGAAGAGCCAGCAACGCGCCCAGAACCTGCACCTCCTGAAGAGCTGGTCTGGCATCAATGACTGGGAGAAGAACGATCAGGCTGTATCCGAGTGGTACGAGTCTGAGAGGAAGAAGATCGGAGAGAAGGTCGAGGCGCTCAAGAACGAGCACCTTGCCGAGGAAGTTGCCACATTGGTTCGCGACAACAAGCGTGCCGGATGGAAGGGTGTGAGAGATGCTCTGAGAGTGATGCCCGTGGAGGAGCGGGACGAGCTCTTCAAGTATCTCAAGGGTTAAAAAACTACAAAAATACACAGAGAGGTCGAGAAACGTGTTGAGCACTTGGCTTGTTATTTCTCGGAGTGTCCTTTTTTATTGTTACGTTTTATCATGTTATATAGCACATTATGTTGATGGTTGGGGGAATGGTTGGAGATACGAAATGGCGTTGGGCATTTGTTTTCCATCTCTTGCTCAAAGATAGATCTTAATACAAGAAATGTATATCTAGGACCGTGTTCAAAGCTTCTATATTACTGGTGAAAACCATGCTTGAGAGTGGATCTGTGTGTATTAACAATATGGGTATTTATGTGTGTAAATATTTGTTCCAAGGAGTTGTCCCCCTTTGCCATGACAGCCAAGCTCTAATCGCTGTCCCTCGTCTGCTTCGTCGGATTGGTAATGGAGATATCCATATTATGGCATCCCGTGCTTTGGAATGCCTCTCGCTTCCGCTCCGCACTCATTCAAAGTCCTTGCTCATCTATATTTTCGTCTCGCGCAATTCATAACGCTAATAATACAAAGATCCAACTGTGTGCTGTAAAATATAAGCCAGCCCTAGTCCCCCCAAATCAAAGCCCTGATTTTTTTTTTTTTTTTGGTTGGTTGTACATGTGTTTACAGAGAAGATTTCTCGCCTGTCACTCCTCTTGTAAAAGTTGATTTTTTTTGGCCGTGCTGTTTCAGGTTTGTGCTCTCTTTTACTCGGACGGGACGCTCGTGCGGATCTGGACGCCATGCCACTCCTTGACTAGGTCGCCGAGGGCCTTGGTGACGAGGCGCTGCTGGGCGAGGAGGGTCTTGCCCTTGAACTTGGGGGAGACGATGTCGATGGCGTACATGGAGCCGCAGCCGCCCGAGACGTCGCGGACGAGGAGGGAGGTGGTCGGGGAGAGGGTCTCGTTGGAGGAGAGCTGCTCGGCGATGGAGAGCTCGGCGGGGGTCATTGAGGGGAGGTCGTCATCTTCTGCGGGCGCGGCGGAGGAGTAGGCTCTGCGGGCGGCGGCGGGCAGCGCTGATCTTGATGCGGCGGTCTGGTGAAGGCATCGCGGGGGCAGTAGGGCCGGCCTGGGTGCGCATTGGCGGAGGGAGGTGAGGAGGGAGGGCCTCAGGAGCGCTGCTGTGCGCGGGGCGTTGAGCATGGTTGGCTGGGCGGGAAGAATTGGAGAGGATTGATCTGTCTGGGGGGTTCAATCGTTGGTTGTTGAGGGCGGGCTGGTGGTTTTTTTGTGGTTTGTAATTGAGGGCGATGACGGCTTTGGGTCCCCGGTTATTCCCAGGATCTAAGTGATAAGATCATGGGGCTTGGTCATCGGCGTCTCGGCGTCGGCAATTGGCGGGAGAGATCAGCAGTGTAAAACGGTGTGGTTTTGGGATTTGCCGGTAATTTAGCCGACCGAACCGTAAACAAGCTTGAGCTAAGATAAGCCAAGATAAGATAAGATAATGTTATCAAATGTGGAGTAGGTGACCCATACGGGCCATACCTCCTGGTAGCTGCTACATCATCTGATAATCACCGCCCGGCCACTGAACTATATTGTACGGTGGTGATGGTTTGGCATAGCAATTGTTGGCTGGGCGTGCTGCGATAGCTCCCATTTGCTTTCCATCTCGGTTCGATCAGCCCGTGGGACAACACGTCATCCAAGGCAGAGGTGAAGTTTAACAAGAGGATACATTTGTTCAAAACTCCCCGACGTGGGGGTTTCGTTTGCATCGCATCGCATTCCCATTGGCCCAGCGCGATGAGGTGAGGGTGTTGGGCTGCTTATGAGCGCATTGACGACCAGACAGAAGTCGTTGGATTGAGGCCCGTGGCGTTAGACTAGACCCAATGATGGCCGGAAGCCGTCCCAGCCATGTGAGGCTGAACGCTCTTTTGGTGCTCTGGCTGCCCGCGGGGAAAGGCGAGTTGGAGGAAGCTGCATATTCTTGATTATTTACCCCGCCTGGATGTCAGCCAACGAGAATGAATGGATGATCCGATCGCACCCTTCCAAGTTTTGCTTTCCGGTTATAAGAGGTGCTACTTCCCTCCTCACCCGAGTTTAGTTCTCGGCATACTCTTCTCTTAACCTGGGATAAATAAATAACGACACCAATTCTGAGATCTTATCACTAGCCGACGTCAATAACTACCAGCCTGACCAATGGCGTCCACCATGGCCAGGCTCACCTTATTGGTGGTAGCTGTGATGCAGCTGTCCCAGCCGCTCTCTGCCACCCCATTCTCATGGACCAAGTATGGCTCCATGGGGCCAATAGGATTCGCATGGCCACCTGACAGGACATGGAGCTTCGATACTGTACTGGACGAGCCGTGTGGCGCGCCTGATGTTGGCAACCGGACCGAGTTCCCACTGAGTAGGCGATCAACCCTTGGGCATTCTCTGACCCTCTCTGCCGGTCCATGAGGAGTGAAGCTGAATGAAACCTCTATAGCAAATGGTGCCATATCTCTTCAACAGAAGCAAGAGGCCTACGACTTCCAGGTGTCTATCACTTACAGTTCAAGTATGTCTCCATGAGGATATTCCTACAATAAATCATCTAAGAGAAACACATGAGAGTCAAGACTGACCTGAAACCCAACTTGCTCTCGCCTTAGACCCCAATAACAAAAGCACATTCTTCCCCGTCACTCCGATCCAGTCCTCGCTCGAGTACACTCGCCTGTGCCTAAACCTGACGACTCTCCCCGATGACGCAACGGCCGGACAAAACGCGACGCTGCAACTGCAGTATACAGCTCCGTGGTATGGCTACCGGGACGAGCAGAGCAAGCGGCACATGGAGGCCAACGAGACTTTCTACGTCTGCGCCGACATAACCCTCGTGCAAAGTGCGGAATTTTTGCTCGACGAGATTCCGTCGTGCTTTAATATCACGACGGATTACAAGAACGGTGACCAGTGGCCGGATTGGCCCTGGGATAATGGTAATGGTGATGGCGGCGATGATGACGACGGGTCAGATCAGGATGAGGCCAAGGGGGGTGTGAATGGTTCTGGCATCTCTGTCGGCGCAGTTGTCGGCATCGCCGTCGGAGGGTTCCTTGCCGTCGCCCTCATTGCTGCCATTGTAGGTTGGGGCATCTACTTGGCAAGAAAGGGGAGGAAGGCGAGGGCGGAGGAGGAATCGAACAAGATGTCAAAGGAGGAAAAGATTGCTGCTGCGAAGAAACTTGATGATTCTGATAGCGCGTCCTTGAATTGAGGGGGATGGGCTTGTGAGGATGTTAGTTCAGGGTCGGGGATAGTAAGTGATCCTTTCCGTCACTGAGATATCTTTCTCGGTTGGATGTCTAGGACTGCAACTTCTTGTGAGGGAGTTGGAGATCGGTGATAAGTCTGAGGCGATGCACAACGAACAATGTCCTCATGCACGTGAGGCAATTCATTCACTGCTGGCGGAAGTGTCTAGCACACGGCATAAATTGAGATATTTCTTGTCCAAGAGCTTGCAAGTGTCATGTTAGTTCTCGTGTATGCGATCCAAGTACTCGCATAGCTGTACGGTAGGTGGCCACATTGTAGGTGGCATAGCCGACCATCATCATCACAGAGATGCCCCATCTTCCTCGGCATCTTGATACTGTTTGTTTGCTTAGCCTTCGTTTGTTGATTTGTTGACATTCTGAAGTCAATAGATGAACGTCTAGCTCTAAGCGAAGGAAAGAGGCGAGGGGGCCTGTTGTTGAGGGGTCCTAGAGGAACTGATTGGCAAGTCTAGATTTGGATGTCAACGGTATTAATTCAAGTAATTTACAACGAATGGACTTTGACAGCATCCGTCTCCGTCTTCTATGCGCATGTATGCACATGTATGTATATCTCAACAAGGCATTTGGCATTATATGCGCATCTGCCAGATCTCTCAAAATCACGCGACACGCATAATCGATCGGATGTAGGCGAACGAGCGAAGAAGCATGATGCCTGATGCCTGGCCAGCATGATAGTTTTCCTAGGGCCAGCCCGTCCGTCATGCATATACACTATGTATTGGCAGAGCACGCGTTCCTCTCATCTGCCTATCAAACGCCGGTCATTGCATCCGCATGGGGAGCCTGCTTGCAGAGTCTCACTTGGCCGTTACTTTGAGTAGAAAACGTGCAGGAGAAAGCCGAACCAAACTACATGCCCTGGTCATTGCAATGGACAGACCCTGGTCTCCTGTTCCCGAAAGAGCTTGGACTAACCGGAACGTGGCTTGCTGAAGCGCCTGGTCAGAGCTGGGATCTGCATCTCTCATTCTACCCATGGCTTTCTCCCTCTTTTTTTTCCGGCCCAAGGCTCTCCACACCCTCTTCTCATGCTGCGAAAGGAAATGCTGCTGCACGATGGATGGCCAATGGCCAGCTGAAACCGTAAGCAAGTACCGGAAAGGGAATTGCCAAGGGAGGGGGAGAATCATTTTGGAAACAAATACTGGATGAACGGCCGCCCAGGGCTGAGACCTTGCAGTGACAGTTGCCAGTATTTCCTGCTAATCAAACCCTTGCCTGCGCACATAATTGGCTGAGCGGTAGGAGCAAGATGGAGAGAACCTGCGAGGTTTGGAGCGTTAGGAATTGATCAATGTCTCGGGCCCCAGTCACCTGCCTGGCGCGCATGTTCCCTTTTCATGTATCTTACTCTTCTTGGGTCTGGGTTGCATCGAGAGACAAGTTGTCAACCTCACCTTGGTGCCCGGCAGCATTGCGGACTGCCTTGTCATTGGCTCACCGCACTACATACATGCCAGCATTGAGTACGCGATGTCTGTACGTGCTCGTATGCATACGGGCACATGCACAAAGGATGGACAACTCCTACCCTCCCTTGCCACCTACGCAGATGACAGTGACTCAAAGACGACGCCATATCATGCCATGAGGCAATGTGAACCCCGCCAAGGTCTGCATGAAGACTTCAGATCTGCCTTGTCGCTGTCTGGTTTTCTTCCACCACAAAGGGAGAGAAGTGAAGCCCAGTGAGGGGAGGCAGCCGGCTGTTTTGAACGTTGGCCAAGGCTTGTGTGTACTACGCAGGTGCCGCGTTACTATGTACGTGGTGATAGGCGGGAAATAGACTAGGCACCGGGCCGCCACCCACAAGCCGTCGCCAATTTCGATGGTCCCCGGCTCTTGAAGCTTCCGGATAAGAGCTAAAGTCATATTGCAGGGGACTTGGCCTCGATTGGGAAAGATGTCCTGCGCATTCCACGTCTAGGAGGAAGCTGAACTGTAGCTCCTCGAGACGGGACTGGGCGATGTATGTTGACTTGGGTGTTGATCAGTTTAGTCCCACGTCTTGGCGTGCCCGCTCGTGTGAGTTGGGGGGTAGTGGCCGGTAGTAGTAATACGTGAGGTATTAGGGAATGGAGGTCTGCTGCCACCATCACGCGAGTATAAGACTTGCGGCGCTTCCGTACTCTCGGAGTCGTGGTCTCGCCCCTCTTGGCTTTCTCTGCAAACACTAGACCGTGAGTTTCTTTTTCTGCCTTACCAGCCTCAAAGCAGAGTATTGGTTGTCACCCTTGCCCTTCATCCCCCAGACCGAATATTTCGTCGTTGCTCTGAACATACCTGCCCTCTCGAAGGGAAGCAGACGGGCTTGTGTTTGAGCACGCCACCTCACTTGTCCTCCCCTCTCTCGCAAAGTAATACTTGAGCATACTTTGGTTTCCAAATGGCTTTGGCTAAGATCGGTCACGGTTTGATCAACCGAATATTCCCATCCGAGCAACCTTCCCCAGAAGGGAGGGCAGAGCAAGGCTACCCACCACACGAGGCCCATGGACATGGACACGGACGCGTCGAGTCTCCTCTTGGGGACACCAAAGATCGTCGCATGACAGTTATGACGCTGGACCCCAGCGCCCTGATCCCTCCCGAAGACAAGCTTCTCATCTTCCGAACGCTGACTGGCATCGACACGGTACCGGCTGTGAGTAACGCCGGGCACGCGGTGCGATCGGCCGCCAACATCGGCCTCTACACACGAGTGGTCCGCAACGAGCGGTTCGCCAAGAAAGGATACCGAGTCTCGGCCGTGTCAATCAACAGCTTCCTGGGTCTGCAGATCATCATCGGAGCAGCCCTGACGGCGCTAGGAGCCGCCAATGGATCTTACAACGCCATCATGGGGCTTGGAGTCTTCAACACCATCATTGCAGGCCTGCTGGCGTACATCAAGGGTTCCGGGATGCCCAACAAGTTCAAGCGGAGCGAGTACGAGTGGCGCAAGGTGCGCGAGTATATCGAGCAGCGGGAGCGGGAGCTGTGTCTGGCGGACTCCGGCTTGGACGTGTACTATGAGGTCAAGGTGGTGGAGGAGATGTATTACCGGGTGAGGGAGGAGCTGTTGGCGGGGATCAAGGAGCCGGCGTACCGGCCGGCAGAGCAGGCAGATGCCACAAGGCCGAAGAGTGAGCTTGGTAGGTCACAGTCGATGCTGAGGAGGCAGTCGATGGGCTCGGAGCCATCCTATGCTGCGCCTGGAGGTGGTATCCAGCAACATAATAATAGTAATAGCAACAACAGTGCTGGGATTGGTGGTGGTGGTGGCGGAGCGGCAGTCGGAGGAGCGCCTATGGGGACTATTGACGAGAAGCACTGACGAGATGGCGGGGCTAAGAGAGATGTCGGCAGTATTGATTAAGCGTAATGGTCTACATGATAATTTTCATGATTTGAAAATTGGGACTCTTCTATTGTCGCCATCTTTGCATATGTCTATCTTGTTGTAGCGAGATGCTTTGGTAAGAGTCGTATCATCTCACGATATCATAATTGATGCCTGTTGCACAGCGGAAAAGCACAGCCTGCTCAGGTAGGTAAATGGACAGTCAGCACCTAATAATTAGCCCTCCCTCTTTATTTTACCCTTGTCGCACCGCTACCACTCGTAGTGGTACGCATACACCCTTCCACAGGCTCGCCTCTGTCCCAGGTCCTTTGCCAATTGCCTATACCGGAGCCCGGAGCTTGGGCTCCACGCCGATCTTTTGATGGCCAATCTACCGATTGATGCAATCCAAGGACGATGTTGCGTGTCGCGATGCAGGTCCCTGCCATTGGCCCCGCTCGATGCTTTCTTTCTTGTCAAAAACAAGAATGTTGATTGATGCCTGCATGTAACCCTCATCCCCAAGTTGAGTGCTCCCAGAAAATGAACGGCAGGAGCAGTCGGGCACGGCGCAGTTCCTCCTGCTTATTGTAGATGTGAGTTAAGGGTTGGCAGGAGCGTCCGCCAAAAGATAAGCTTAAGATAAGCATGGTGAGACGTTTTGCTTCCTCTCCCTCGGCCTCTTCTCCCATCTCATTGACGTTGACGAATTCCCATCCTCATCAAGACTCTGGTCCCCTCTCTCGCCTCCTCCCACCTGTCATTTCCGGGTTGACCAACGAACGATATTCACATGCACCGGTTTCCCACGATGCAACTTCGATATGCATGGCATCTTGACCTTCCGGAATACCACCATGGATTTCTCCAGGCCCTTTGTGCCACCGATCCCACGCAATTGCCGCTTTGGCTCAAGCTGACAAAAAGTCCAACATGGAGCAAATTAGACAAATGGGGCGCCTTTGTGTCGTCAGCGGATGAGATACCATGAATTAGCCTGGATTGGCTGCACCTCCTTATCCTGGCCTGGTAGGCCATCATCTCAAGAGCTGCCATGCCTAGGGCACATCGGACAACGCGGCACAAGCCAGAAAATCTTCTTCCTATCTCGGTCTATCTATCACCTAGATAACCACTATCCCTGCTCTATCACGCGAGCACCCTCACAATCATCGCCTGCCGAGTTGAGCTTCAATTGGGATCGCTTCCATAGGCAGCTCTAAGTCCTGGGGTCCCTGCTTTACTTCCCATTCGCCCATTCATTCATGATTCTGATTGGAATCCCGATATTAACCCCTGTAAACCGACCTTGTTCCTGCTTGTGTCCCACTTGGTTCCTCCGCGCGCGGCACTCCTGAGGCCATCTCCGGTATTGGCGTTCCGTTGAACGTCTCGAGCTGGCCCTGGTAATCGATGTCTACCCCGTGGCGAATTTCGCCATTGGGTTCAACAAGCCAAGCCCTGTCTGTCTCCGGCAGCGGTCCCATCCCTGTTCTCACGCGGGTATGGAAATAGGTATAAGTGCTGGGTCCTCCTTCGGGGGACCTTGAGGTTATGATCTTCTTCACATCACGCTCATTTCACTCCTTCTTTAATTACTCGGGTGTGTTGGGCCATTGAGGTTGCCCGTCATTCTACCATGGCACCTCTTTCGAACCTGTTCGTGTCGCTCCTTGCTACAGTTGCTACTGTGTCGGCTGCGAAGCTTTCTATCAAGCCCAATTCAGCTCGTGTTCCGGGTGCCTATATCTTTGAATTCGAAGATGGACAAGTAGGTTTCGTTGCTTCTCATCATCTTTCTTGAAATCTTGTTCCCTGACTCCTTATTCGTTTAGGATACCACCGAATTTTATAAAACCATTGAGACAGAGGGCCGCACTCGCATGAACCTTGACTACAAGCTCTTCAAGGGTGTCTCGGTTCAGCTTCATGACGTGGAGAATGCCGATGCAACTGCCATGCAGATTGCTGAAAGGCCTGCAATTAAGAATATTTGGCCGCTTGAAGTTTTCAAAGTCCCAGATGACAAGATCCATTGGACTGGAACACCAGAGACCAAGAACTTGGTCCAGAAAAGGGCCAATGAGACCGTCGATACATTCACTCCTCATGTCATGACCCAAGTGGATAAGCTTCGCGCCCAGGGCATCACTGGAAAAGGCATTAAAATTGCTGTCATCGACACTGGTGTACGTTGTCTTTGTTTTTATTGTTGACAACCAGTTGGCTAACCAGCTTTTCAGATTGACTATGGGCATCCAGCACTCGGCGGATGCTTTGGAGAGGGCTGCCTTGTTTCATTTGGCACTGATCTGGTCGGTGATGATTATGACGGTTACAATACACCTGTACCCGATGATGACCCAATGGACTGCTATGGCCACGGAACTCATGTGGCAGGAACTGTCGCTGCCCAGGAGAATGAGTATGGGTTTACTGGTGCCGCCCCCGATGCTATTTTGGGCGCCTATAAAGTCTTTGGATGCCAAGGTGAGGCGGGTAACGACGTTCTCATTGCCGCATACCACCAAGCTTACGAGGATGGCGCCGACATCATAACCGCTTCCATCGGTGGCCCCTCAGGTTGGACCGAGGAACCATGGGCTGTTGCAGTATCCAGAATTGCCCTCGAAGGCGGTGTGCCATGCCCAGTGTCTGCAGGAAACTCTGGGACATCTGGTTTGTTCTATGCATCTACAGCCGCTAACGGCAAAGGCGTTCTGGCTGTTGCCTCGTTTGATAACATTGAGTCGCCCACACTGCTATACGTCTCGAACTTCACTGTCGATGGTGGAGAGGTGCAGGAGTTTGGCTACACACCTGCTACTCCTTCAGACTGGGCGGGCGTGAAGCTCCCACTCTGGGCTCCCGAATTTGACACATCCATCCCTGATGGCGGCTGTGATGCTTACCCCGATGATACACCTGACCTGAGCGGGCACATTGTTCTTGTACGTCGTGGAACTTGTACTTTTGTCCAGAAGGCGAACAACGCCGTTGCAAAGGGTGCCAAGTACCTCATCATTTACAACAATGCAGCTGGGACAGGAGAGTTCGACGTTTCGACAACAGCGATCAAGGCTGCAGGTATGGTCACTGCTGACCAGGGTGCCGCCTGGATCAAGTTGCTGGCCGCCGGATCCGAGGTTGTGCTCAGCCTGGCTGATCCAGATACCGCGGAAAGGAGTTTGACAAGTCCTGTCAATGAGGCTACCGGTGGCGCTCTGAGCTATTACACGAGCTGGGGTCCGACATGGGAATTGGACGTTAAGCCCCAGCTCGGATCCCCTGGAGGCAATATTCTTTCCACCTACCCTCGCGCACTTGGTGAATATGCTGTTCTTTCTGGTACTTCGATGGCATGCCCTCTAGTAGCCGGAGCACTGGCCCTTATTGGCCAAGTCCGTGGTACCTTGGATCCCACGTTGCTTGAGAACTTGCTCTCCAGCAACGCCAACCCCCAACTGTTCAACGACGGATCGAGCTTTTACGAGTTCCTGGCTCCCGTTCCACAGCAGGGAGGTGGTTTGATCCAGGTCTACGATGCCGCTTATGCCACAACACTGCTGGAGCCATCTAGCTTGTCCTTCAATGACACCGCCAACTTTGTGAAGGTCAGGAATTTCACTCTGAGCAACATTGGCAAGGAGGAAATTACCTACCAGATCTCTCACGTATCTGCCATCTCCATGTATACTCTGGATACCGGTAGCATTTACCCTGCCGCATTTCCAAACGAGCCGGTTGATGCCCGTGCAACCCTGGACTTCAGCGAGGATAAGGTCACCATCCCGGCCGGAGGCTCTGTCACGGTGGAGGTTCTGCCCACCCCTCCCGAAGGTCTTGACGCTGAACGTCTGGCCTTATGGTCCGGTTATGTCGCCGTGAATGGCTCTGACGGCACCTCGCTTTCTTTGCCTTACCAAGGACTCACAGGCTCCTTGTATGACCATATTGTCCTTGGAGCCGAGGACGCCTGGATTGCGTACTCGAATGATGAGAATTATGATGTGGTCCCCGGCAACACAACCTTTACTCTCCCAGCACAGGGCGCCGAGGCAGGTGATGATGCTGTGCTACCTGCTCTTGTGGCTTACTTGGCACTTGGCTCAAGCCAGTTGCGTGCTGACGTTGTTCCTCTAACAACATCCCCTCCAGATTGGACTGAGGAGAAATATGGAATCAAGACAATTGGTCAAATCGATGGCCTCCCACTCTGGTATCTGGCCCGAGGAGCGACTATCCAGACGTGGACCGGTTTCCTTGACAACGGCAAGTATGCTCCTGAGGGGAAGTACAAGATAGTGACAAGGGCTCTGCGTATCAACGGAGACGCCGACAAGGAGGCTGATTGGGACGTGGCGGAGACACAGGCGTTCGGGATCAAGTATGCGACAGCGTAAGCTCGGTGTCGTCGCTGAATATGATAATATTTTATGCTATGAATGAGATGATTGAATAATTCTGAATGAATGGGTTGCATGGATTTGAAGCCGGCCAGTGCCTACTACATTGAGGTCCGTAATCGTATGGCATCTTCATTCTATTATTTCTCGTGAACACTCCCTCGCTTCAAGTGTGATACGTATTACGACAACCAACGGTAGGGAACATGTGTCGGGCTTTATTTGGACCAATGATATTGATTAAGACCTGCTGGACGACATGAACGATGATTCTATTGATCGGGGCTGTGTATTGGGATACGTAATTACACCTTATCGCCGGGCCAGGCAGTCACGAGAAGACGGTATCAGAGAGGGAATAAAATTTGTTGATTATGCGTAGATACGGGCTTGGGAGTGTCTGGGTCATTTATTGGTGATCCGACGAACGAATACACTTGCTAGAGGATACCATAACAGAAGCCTGCTTGGCCCAGCTTGCCCGATGAAAATAGGCTCCCAGATTAGGTTTGCCAGGCACCCAAGCCAGCTCTTACTATGAACGAAGAGAATTATTGTTTAGTAAGACTGAGCGAGAAGTGGGGAAAGGGGGGAATTAGAACAGCAGACTATTGTCTTGTCTCAATACCGGTCTGAAAATCAGCAGTCACTGGGCGTGAAGCATTGGTTGGTTCCATTTGGATGGTATGTGACTGCGCGGCGAGATTGCGGCGGTACTCTGAATCACGTGATTTGTTCCAGTACCCTTACATAATCGGGGACCGAGGGTGGATCACGAGGGATTGGGTACAGCCAATGGGAAGCGCAGAGCCAGGGACCTGTCAGGCAGCAGCATTCTGGAGGGAATTGTGGTTTGCGGAACCGCGGGGAGAGGCTGAAGCGAATCAACGGGCTGCCATCGCAATTGCCAGGCACCAGGATAAACTCTTTCCAGCAACAGGATTACGACGTTGCGTGGTGGCGCCGGGTTTCTATCCCATTGCTCCTTAATTGTCCTGCAGAGCTTTGCCCGTCTGCAGCCGCCAGTCCATATCCATATCTCTCGTCGCAGCGCCGGGTCTTGGCATGCATCCATACGCCTGAAACCACACTCCAACTGGCATCATCACCGCCATCAAACGGCCTCAATCGCACGACCAACACTGCTCTTCGAGGCATGGGCGTGCTAACCGGTTGATCGCATTCACCACCTGTGTCTGTCTGTCTGTCTGTCTCCTTCACTTCTCCTCCACGCCCAACGTCAGCTTTGCTTGCGCACTACCCAACGAATCAGTGGCGGAGCGTCGCAAGTGAGCGGCAATTTTATCCATCGTGACTGCGCTTGAACTGCAAGTTGGGAGTCTTGTTTCCAAGTTTGCCCCGGCTTGTAAAGCCTAGCCAGTAATTATGGATTCATTTCTCCCTCTCGGCGGCTTCCAGCTGCCCTTCCAGCAACGGCTTAGCCGATTGTACAACGACACCAAGAAGTCAAGCGACTTTGTCAAGGAGCCTTTCCAGAATGAAGAAGATCCCGACATCAAGGCCTTGCATCGGAAGCTGCGCATTCAAAAGGACCGGTTGGTGAGCTGGGGACTTGAGTGGTCGGATCCCAAGTCTGCTGAGATTGATGAGTCGTTATCAAACGCAGGCTTGAGTGAGGTCGTCGCCAGTGTCATGTCGACAATCAAAGACATTCTTGCAGAAGCGGAACCTCTGTGGCTTAGCTCCAAGCATCTCACAGAGCCAAACCGGCCGTCTGCAGATCGTAAACCCCCTCTCGTTCGATGGGACAAGACTCGGTTCGAAGACCTGGTTCGCGACCTTACCTCCTCCATCGACACACTTTACGATCTATCCCGTACTCGGTCTATGGGGGCCACTCCGCGTCCACCACCCAAGGTCCCGCCAAAGGACCCATTGCCCAGCCAGGACTTCAGGCCTTTCGAGTCAAGCCGAATGCAAACTCCCCAGTCAATACGTCCTGACTCTTTGACGCATCTTCGACCTCGCCAAGGCAAAGAAGGTGCCATCGAGAGAGAGGTGGTCTTCATGAGCAAGACTGCCTACTCGGAGCTCACCCACGGTACAGCACGAGAGCCATGGGCTCCATTGTTATTAGAGTACGCCACATACGACTCGATTTATTCTATTACCGGCATTTCGCCACCCATGGATCGCTTTGAGAAGCTATCTGCCGCCCTTCAGCAGGACCCTCAGCTGTCTCCTGATACCTGGACAGGTCTACCTCGCCTACTTGGATATTTTGAAGATCTTGAAAACTCCCGCTTTGGTCTCGTCTACCGATTTCCACCATCATTCAACGCTGTTTCTTTTGAACATGTCACCAAAAATCCCTTCTACAGTCTGCCAACACTAGCGGATGTTCTGAATCAACCAGACGCAGAACCTCCCCTCGAAGCCAAGTTCAGGCTTGCTCATAACCTGGCAAACACTGTCTTTGACATGCATGCTCGTGGCATAACCCACGGCAACTTAACCCCAAAGAATGTCTGCTTCAGCGACTCTGTCACTAGGCCAACTGTCACAATTGGGGAAATTGACGTTCGACGACCGCTAGTGTCCTCGTTTGACATCTTTCCCGAAGACGGGAATAACTCCGCCGATGCCTCCCTTATAAGCCCACGAGAGCCTCAGTACCCCGGTTCGAAAATGGCCGGAAACGAGCGTACTCGTGAGTTTCTCTCACTGGCGACAGTATTGCTTTCAGTTGGGCTCTGGCTTCCTCTGGAGAGCATCACAAACATCAACGCTTCTGGGTCCATTTCTCAGCCGATGCTTAAGCAACTCTCGCAGAAGTGTGGATCCTTATATACACGGGCGGTGCAGGCATGCTGCTCCGTGATGGAGCAGGAGAAGTTGGGGAATTCTTCCATCGAGGATCTACTTTCCTCAGCCCAGACAAAAATATCTAAATATCTCGAAGCATGCTGCGTCTTGGATGGCGACAATGAGTTGGATGATAGAACCAACCCTGAGCTGCAACAGAGCCAGCCTAAATCTCAATCCAACCTGCCAGTAGCCACCCCCCCTCCTGTAGGGTCCTCCAAGGACTTGCGAGATGTCAAGTCGCCGGCGTTATTTTCACCACCCCCCGCCACCCCCGATCCGATGACCAAAGGCAGAGAAGCTGTCAAGGTTGAGACAAACGACCTTGGTAAGAAATCCCACCCAAGCACTCGGTTTCTTTCACACTTGATTCGTTAAAGCTGACTTTTTCAATCGCAGATGCCCGGCAGAAGGCGGCAAGTAAATCTGAAGCCAAGCTAAAGCTATATCCACACATTCCTCTCCCACCCGATGCCGTCGACAAGTGGAATACAATCCTCATGCCTCAAATTAATCTCGCCCTGAAACAATTTTACCGCAAACATCCGGAGTCTGTCGAAATATCCTTGGAATCCGTTGGACCCTCGCCAGCGATGACGAAGCCCACAGTCCTTGTTGTCTGTACATCTGTCGGCAAAGTCCGTGCAATTCTCAAGAAGCGCGTCGGTGACTTGTTCGACGAGTCGACCGGCTTTGCTTTGAAGGTGTGCCGAGGACAAGTCCTGCGCTCTCGCAGAGATTCATCGTTCCCTGTTAGGTCTATGGCGAATAGAAGCCACGTTTCAGCCGACAACGCCGATGATGGGGAGATAGATGCCATCAACCCCGAGTTCCAACAAAGACCAGGGAATGGTGCAAGCATTGGAGCATGGATTGGCGATCGACACCTACCTCCTGTCAGCTTCGGTGGACTTGTGCTTGTCGATGACAAGGCATATGGAATGACAGTTCACCACATGCTTGATGACCCAGATCGAGACTTTGGCCAAGACGAGCCGACTAGGAGCAGTGCTGTACCAGGCCATGAATGGTTTGATCAGTCAGTTGCCGGCAGCAGCGCCGATGATGACTTCTCCTACGAGCTTTCAGATACAGAATCCGAGGCATACTCTGAATCAGATATAACCAGTGACTGGGGCGACGAGGAGGACGAGGAGGATTCATTTGAGCCTGGTGACATTCCTGGTATTGAACCTGGCTGTGGCGACGGATATATCGTCACGCAGCCAGCGCTTGACGATGTTGAGGAGGGATTTTATCCTTCCAGCGAGACTGAGGATGAGGACCATCTGGATACCTTCAGCCTGGGAGAGATGTTCGCCTCGAGTGGAATTCGTCGAAAGGAGGTCAACGGGTTGGTGCATGAGGTGGACTGGGCTTTGTTTGAGTTCTCTTCAGATCGCGTTCCAGAGGATAATTTCATCCCTCGCTCAAAAGGCTTCACAACAGCACGGTCAAAGGCAAGTGCCATTCTGCATCCTACTGCGGTCGCTCCCTTTTCATCCCTACCTGGGCTGGAGGTGCAGTGTATTGCTAGGACAAGCGGGCTGCAGACAGGCCAGATCTTGCCTACCCTGACCAGCGTCAAAATTTATGGACGCACTTCACCGAGCCACACGTACCAGATCGCAAGCCTTCCTGCCTCCAAGATACCAGAGCATGATGAGAGCCCAAGGGCCCCGATCGGTATACCAGGCGATAGTGGAGCATGGATTGTCGATCATCGCAATGGTCAGCTCTGCGGCCATGTCCTTGCCTGGAGTCAACGCAAACGAGTTGCGTACATCTGCCCCATGGACGTGCTGCTCATGGACATCGCTGAAACTCTGGATGCTACCGAGATCAAGCTACCTACAGGCGAGGTCATCCTCTCCTCTGCCCAGTCTGTCCAAAAGCGAGGGCGATATCCTGGATCAACCTCTGACGGCGAGGATGAAACAGACTTCTGTGAAGACGAAGTTGCCCCTACGCTCTCCAAAATCTCACAAAACCCACCCAGCACCGGCCTAGTTAGCAGCCAAGATGCCTCGAGCTCACTCCGGATGAGCTCTCAGGGTAATATCGCCGCCCTCAATCGCACAATGAAAGAGCTTCGAGTTGATTGTGGCATCGGTGTAAGCGGCTAGGATGGATTTTCTATGTAATTGCATATTTTTGTCACATGTCACTGGTATTTACTGCAACATTGACTGTCACTTTTGTTTTTATTTGGGGGGAAATACCAAACCGGAGTATGTTTCCGGGGGATCATGGACAGGTTGAAATGAATAAGAGTTGGTGGATGGAATCATTTTGAATATCCTTCGCTTAACCATAAAATGAATGCCGAATTGGCTACATGAAGTCATCCTCCCAGTCGGCGCTTCTCTCCTGGTTACTAGAAGAGGCCATGTTGTCGTCCGTGAATAGCTCATCATAAGCGTGATCCTTTTGATACTTCTTCTCCTGCCACTCCTTGGCTTGTTTGGCCTCTTCCTTTTTCTGAATGTCGCAAAGTAAGGAGGCGCATTTAGCTTTCGTACTACATGACCAATTGGTACACGGGAAGGGGGGCAAGGGTACTGACCCGTATAAGCTGTGCTGCCTGGTCTCGCTTGCGGAGTTCCCGGAGACGGTCGTCCTTTTCCTGCTTGAAGTCGGGTTTCTTCTCCACCTTTGTCTTGTTGAGACGGTTGACGATGGGGTTCTCGCGCTGGACTACGAGGATGCGCTTAACCTACGCGACGAGGGAAACCCCCAGTGTAAGGGCGAGTTCTTCCATCCAGTGACTCTCTCATGGTCAAACCACCTACCTGGCGCTGGTCCTTGAAGCTGACTTGGCCGACGTCCATGGAGCCGTCCTTCTTGAGGTTTGCCCATGGGGTGTAGATGATGGTGATATTGTCCTTCTTGTTGCCTGCTCGTGGGGTCAGCACATAGGCCCCCCCGGCTGTGATGGGACGCGTACCCTCAATGGAGTTTGCCTTGGTGAGCTGGGCCAGGTCGACCAGGAGCTCCTGTGGCAGCTTGTCCCACTCCTGGCCGTCTCTCATTCGGAGGTAGATGTGAGCACTAGAGAGCTTATCGACGTGGAACTACAATACGCCGGAGAAAGGAGCAGTCAGTCATTTCCCTTCCTCTTCATCGTCGATATCCTGCCCCATCAAAATCTACCTACCCTGTATCTGATGTCAGTCGTGAACGGAAGGCGGGGAATGGAGGGGGGAAAATCAGCGCGAAGCCGACATACCAAACATCCTCTTCCCAGCCGTACTTGATGAGGTCCTCGTCTATGTCTTGCGTGTAAGCTTGTATTGAAAATGGATGACCCAGGGGCAAGGAGGGTAGCTGACTCTCGAACTTATCCTTGCCAACGTAGATGAAGCCCGAGGGCTCAACGACGTTGGAGCTGAAGTAGTAAACCATAATAAACGCCGCACGAGGCTGCCTCGAGGGGAAAAGGCAAATGGGAAGAAAATCAAATAAATAAATGCAAGCAGGCGACAAGGCGAGCCAAAACTGGTAAACTCCAAGGCAAGTGACACACGCCTATGATACGCAAGAACGCTGCCAAATCAACGGGCGTTTATTACTGCGCACGAGAAATTTGCGACATGGTGTGGCGAAGCGGCGCTGTGGCGGTTGGCGGATGTGGCGCGTGCACGTGGACTTCACCCCACCCTAGACCTCCGTACCTCAGATGAGGCTCTCACCAATTGATATTTGCTGGGTGTACAACAAAATCGATTAATGGATAACTCTTTCTTTTCATCACGATGGTAGGGAAGTACTTTCACAGGGAGGGCACGTTTTCTAGGGATCCAATTTGCATTGTTCTGTCAATCAGTCTATCGCTTTGGCAGAGGTATCTAAACTGTTCGCCATCGAACTCCTTGGATGACCTTGTACTTATCCAAACCTTGAAACAGCATTGAAAACACTCGACCAAACAAACCTAAGCCCTTGAATCAAAGCCTCACCGCTCCAGGGCTTATACCCTCCATCTTTCATACAGGAAGACGAGAAAAAAGGAGGAAATAGTAAGCCGCAGGCTTCTCACTCCAGAGACTTGATGTAGTTCAGGAACTCCTTCTCCTCGCTGTCTATACCACTGTTAGTACATACCGAACTGACCCCCTTGTAATAATGCATATGCAGCGAATTATGAAAAGTGAGGATGTGTGTGGGGAGGGGACCTAAAGACAGAACTTACTGAGGCGAACATTCGGGTCGTGTCTGATGGCCTTGATCGGGGCGGAGCAGTTGTCGGTGATATAGACCTGCCCATGCTCTGGGTTCAGAGGAATGCCGAACACCTGGACCTCGACACAGTATTTTCCCTTTTCACTGATGTTGGTGTGCCGGATCTTGAAGTAGCATGCGTTGTTGACCTCGTCGAAGATGGGGGACGCCATAGTCTGACCACCAAGGCAATCGTTTACATAAATCACATTATTCTCATCCTTGAGGCAGATTTTTGCCGAGAAATAGCTGTAACCAGCGGGGAAGTTCTCAAACTTGATGATGATGGGAGGCTTCTTGAAGTTGACTCCCTTCTCAACAATGGAGGGCTGGCATATGAAATTAAGACTTGGCTCCATTGCGTACGAGAGGCTTGTAAGCGTGGGAGATTCCGTTGATTGGGAAAGAAAGTAAGAAAGAAGACGAGATCTAGAGGAAGTTTGTTGGTGTCGATGATGGAAACGAGCAGGATCTCTCGGGAATCATGAGCCCTCTTTATACAACTCCCCAAGCCTCAGATCCAATACCTCCAGCCTCTCCCGAAGCGACAGCCCATCGTAAACAGGAATCTCGACTCGGCTGAATGCTGAAACCCTCAGCCGACAACGGCAAGAAGTGTATTTCCGCGGAGGGCATGTGACGATACCTTGCGGACCAAGTCACTCTCGCCGCCTCCCATGCGAACCACGCGGGAGAGTACAAAGGGCGTCGAATCAGGAACGTCCGCCTCGTTTCTGCGTGGGAAAAAGGTCTCGGTGGCGGGAAAAGAAAGCAAAACGTACATACGAGCATGTACATTTCCTCATATTTGGGGAGGGGAGGGGAAAATTACCGGGTGTGACGAGCAGTTTCCCATCACCGCCGAATGCCTCACTCTATTTGGGACACACACAAAACCGGGGCTAAGATTAGCTGTTGAATAATCAGAAAAATCGAATTGGCCAGGTTTGGGAAACTATTGGCGTTGGGAGTGCAGATCTAGGACATTTTTTGGCGGAGGCTTGCTGAACGGGGTGGGATTCTGATACAATGCTATTCAAATTCCCTTGTTTGGGTGAAGGGCTTTTGAATTAACAAACAGAAATTCGGAAGTCTGAGACTTGGACAAGCAAGAATGGGCGGATGGATGGACAGTTACCGGGGCGTGTAAAAGGGGGTGGTGGATGCCAGTTTGTCTAAAGCCAGGACAAAAGGCGTAGAAGCTAAGCCGGAAGCATGATGGATCAATGAAACAATTGATTCTTCCCACACCCAGCCAAGAAATTCTGCTGACCAGAATTTCACACTGCATTTCTGGGGAAAGGAAGGGGTGCGGTGTGAAGGGGATGGGACGAGCGTTTGTGGGGCTACGAAGAGTCGGGGAATACCCGCAAGGCTTGAGATAAGCGGCAGGGTATTACGATCTTGGCTGTTCATTCAAGCCGATGAGGTGTGCCACTCAAAATCAACAGCTACCTGTCTGCTTTGGACCTGGAGGAGTTCATATACAGTGGTTTCTTTGGATATCTTTTATTATATAGATTGGTTGCGTGCCTGTTGGGTGTAACGCAACAGAGGAAGCCATGAGAGGCAGCTTTGTCTGCTCCCTCGGACTCGTTCCTTTATTTACAGGTCAACTTTTTTGCTTTTAGGGAGGTGAGCGATCGTGGGCGCATGTGGGGAAAAACCTTGTATCGTGGTCGTAGGGGGAGATCGGGCTTACTACATCAGCCAGATCTCATACACCCTGGACGGTTTCCGTTTTTATTCCAGAATCACTCCCTTGTACATCTTCTCCGGAAGTCTCAATTGGTCCTGCCCCTGCAAGCCTTGTGCAGAGTGCGGACCCTGCACATGCTAGGTTACCAGGCCGGAGCAGACCCTGCGGAATATCAGTCACTGTCTCGGTAAGGTATTTTCCCGGGCGGTACTAGGACATCACGTTGCTAGGAGAAATGACATGCTGGTAATATTTGTTGAGTCAAAGGTAAGAAGGGACAACGAGTAGAGTGAAGAGGAGTCAAGTCAGTCCTGCGAACGCGTAGAGCCAGGTTAGACAAGGGACGGCACGTATCCCGTGATGCAATTTCTTTACGAGCAAATAAACTCGATTTTTTTTGGACCACAGGCTGACAACATTCCATAGAAAGTCTGCTCGGTCTAAGGTAGGTTAGTTTTTTTGAATCCGCGTACCCGGGCCGGCGTGGACTGGGACATACGAGGTAACCATGATGTCTGGCCGGTCTGTCTCACTCGTAGGCATGGGGCCTACACATGATAAAGGAGGTGTAGCACTTTGATTGATGATACTATGACAAATAATTGGTAGCCTGTAAGGAAAGGAGAGGGCGTGTGGAATGGGATCTGTTGTAGACTGGTGGAGTCCGGGACACTGTATGGAGGAAGATACTCGGAAATGCTCAAAAAAGGAAAACCCAAAAGTCGAAGAGAGGAGGAGTGTGTTGATTGAGATAAGAGGGAGAGGGGTACACATTAGGAAGGCTAGGCAAAAGATCAATAGTGTCAGAGCAAGGCCAGACGCGGCAACCCGACCGCACGAATGCTGTAAACGTAGCATGGAAATTTCTTTCACAATGGTTAGAGCCAAATGCGTGTTTGACTATGTATCACGGAGCAAGTAGAGCTTTCAACGTCATAGGCTGGTAGGGGTATCAGCGAGTCCCTCCCATGTTCAGAATATCAAGGATTACAATATGCTCTCTTTAGATTGGGTGTGCATGGAGGGAAAAGAAACGAAAAGGAAGAAAAGGAAGAAAAAGAAAGGTTGGAGTTACTCTCTGGCAGGCCAATCCAATGCTCGTGCAGCCTCGGAGCCAAAAGGGATTGAGGTGGGAGGCGTGTGGGTGTGGGCCACACCTACACCAGAGAGCAAGAACATGGAATGTATTTACCTCGAGTCCCCTGATGATACTCTGGTGGCTGTTGTATGCAGCAACAACCACCACAGTCAGATTGTGGCTTCTTGGCATGTTGGCGGAGATGGCCCTGTCTTGGAGTGACGCACAAGGGTCCTTAATTAAGGCTGACTGTGATTTGTGATGAAATGAGAGATCTAGAGCTCCGCATTGCATTATCGAGAATGGCCTGCCAAGAGCAAAACGCTACGGCTTTCGACCTAACAAAGGGACAAAGCGAGAGGATACTACGTTTCGTCAAAGGTGCGGCCTGGGTGTCAAACGGGCTGACGCGAAGACATGGATGAAGAACAGGCCGGATTACAGCCTCATCATTATCTGGTCATTCATTGTAAGACCAAATATGGAGGTAAGACGACAGACGACGGAGGTCGGTTCCGGCGCTAGGAGATTGGTATTGAGAATAGGGGACGATCCACCCCAGCTGAGTAGCGGACGTTGGAATTTGTTACATACACGCTAGATTGGTCAGTACAAATTCAATGGCCCAGTATGTGGATGAGACGATCGACCTGGGCTTGGCTGGTCTCGTGTGTACATAACCTATGGATCTCAACCCTCCAGTCCCAACCAGGGCCATGCAAATGAGCCACAACGAGGGCCAGGTGTGTGATTTTCTGTCTAAAGTGCGCTCCTGGAAATGGAGAGCTGGTACGAAATGCCCAGGTTCCGCCATGGAGGTGTACAAACTCAGCGGGACGCAGAGGTACCTACGAGCATGTGGTAACACAAGGCAGAGTGATGTCAAGCGGCTGAACCGAGGGGCGGTCTCTCATTTCCACTAGGGACCCTCAATGCGGGACGGTAGTGTGGATCCCTATTGTTCCTCCGAGGCTAGTTGAGTTGATCGATGCAGCCAAGGCGTGGCTTTGTGGGCATGATGCATGTTTGCTTTGGTCTAGATGCTTGCGTTGGCCTGGATGCCTGCCGCTCCTCCCTCGCGGCGCCGATTGGCCTGTGGTGCCCCATTGCGCAAACAATAGACCAGGCTACAGAAACACGTACTGCAAATGGGCAGGGCGTGATAGGACGCGGGGTTGAAGGGTGCAGATGGCAAGGTCCAAGCAACAAGACACAAAGGGAGATGCTGTACGAGGCGTGGACGGGGCAGGTTTTGTGACAGGCTGTTGGTTCGTGGAGCTTTGCACTGGGATGGGTGCTGACTAATGGAGGAGCGGGGGAGCTTTGCTGGTTGCGGTTGGTATTAACGAGGTGGAAGCAAGAAGGAAGATGCTGAACGGACTTCTGACTTCTGGTGGGGATGGTGCACTGCGTGTGCCGATTCCAAGCGCGTCTATCAACGGCCTGGCAAGCACCACCGGCACTCCCCTCCACTTGCCCACCTACTGTATGTAGCACGCTACAGGCCGCCGTAATGATGTCGTCGGTGGCTCGGCCAGCTGCCAGCGCGCAGACTATAGCGGGGCAGATAGCCAAGCTCACCACCGCAGCCGTTGCGCGATCGTCCAGCTGCAGACACACCAGCGCCCGTCTTCCTGTCTGTCCTCCCTTCCTCTTTTCTCAATCATCTGCCTTCTTCCCACCATTCCTCGCATCGGCAACACTAGCACCGTCGCCCACGCTCGGATTTGCACACACCTCCCGTTCCACAGCCTCCGCCACCTCGAGAACTAGGTCGACACCCCGCGCTGGCGCTCAACATCCTGCTCCTTTCGTACCCCGCCGTTGTCAGTCCACCTCGCCAGTGACCATGGTTGCTGAGAACTTCGACGCCGTCCTCGAGGGCAAGTACCCAGCCAAGCACCATGCCAAGAGGACTATCGAGCTCATCCGCAAGGAGATTCCCGACGCAAATGGCCTTCTCTACCTCGAGTCCCGCCACACCAAGCTTCTCGAGGACAATGACTCCCCAGAGCCCTTCCGGTACCTCCCCTTCTATCCTGCCTCACTAAGAACACTCTTCGGCGGGCTAAGCACCGTCATCTACATGTGACTGGGTACTAACACATTGGGTCGTACCACAGCCAGCGTCGATTCTTCTACTACCTGACGGGAAGCAACCTCGCCGACAGCTTCTTCACATTCGATATCCAAACATCCAAGTCCACCCTGTTCATCCCCCCTATCGAGCCCGACGAGGTCATCTGGTCCGGCCTGCCCGTCACCGCTGAGGAGGCTCTTGCCCAATACGATGTCGATGAGGTCAAGTTTACCACCGACGTCAATTCCGTGCTCTCAAGCTACGCCTCGGCGAACCCCAACTCGACCATTTTTGCCATCGAGGGCCAGATCTCAGATCACATCAAGATCTCCGATTTCCAGAATAAGAACCTGAGTGTTTTGAAAAAGTCCATTGAGGTCGCGCGCGTCGTCAAGGATGAATATGAAGTAGCCATCATTCGCAAGGCCAATTACGTCTCCGCTCTGGCGCACAAAGCCGTCATCGAGAAGTCAAGGACCGCCAAGAACGAGCAGGAACTCCT